TGCATCTGTGGATGCATGACAAGGTGCGGTTGGCCTTCCTGACTGCATCCCCGCACTGCTGGCCCACGTTCATCTTAGAGTCAATGATGACGCCAAGATCCTTTTCCGCCTCCGTGCTGACAAGAGGGGAGTTCCCCAACCTGTAGGTATGGTGCCGGTTGTTCTTCCCCAGGTGCAGCACCTCGCACTTGTCTGTGTTGAATCCCATCCTATTCTCATCCGCCCACCCCTGTAACCTGTCTAGGTCTGATTGTAGCCTGTTGCTTCCTTCTAGTGTGCCCACGTCCCCCCACATCTTAGTGTCATCAGCAAATTTGAACAGGATGCTTTCCACCCCCTCGTCCAAATCACTGATGAAGATGTTGAACAGTGCGAACCCGAGGACTGAGCCCTGCGGAACCCCACTGCCCACGTCCTTCCAGGTTGAGAAGGACCCATCCACTACCACCCTCTGGGACTATGACTATGAAGAGTCTGAGTCTGAAAGAGTGCGCTGGAGTAACTTTGTTCATGGCATTTTGCATGCCTCAGAGGTGGCAGGACCAAGCCCTGAGGCTGGCATTTCCAGAAGCACCTAGCTCCTACTGCCTTATGAGGAGGGTTATCCACTGTTGGGAACCTTCTGGTGCCACCAGCTCTGCCCCAGCCTCGCTGGTGCATGACCTCCATTGTTAACATCTGCCAGTTCCTGAAGCAGTCATATAAAGAGACTTCCCTTCTCACCTTTGTGCCATCCTCATGCTCCCTGTCTGTATCCTATCATTTTTCTGAATTAACTTTTTGAAAACCTTCCCATTTCCCCCAGGACAATAAGCTAATCATCCTCTTGGCCCACACTAGCTCCCTCCAGGACTCTCTGCTGCCCCTTTTGTGAGGAGTGGCAGCTCCAAGTCCCCTTCTATATGGAGAACTCTTCCTGCCACTTTTAGCCTCCCTCTCTGGCAGTGTTTAATATTCCCTGAGATTACAGCCTCCAAATGAGCAGATGTTTCTGCATTAAATATTGATCTCAGGGCCTGCAACCTTGGAGGGCAAGGATCAGATAAAGCACTGGAGCAAAGCAGCACCACTCTGCCTGATAAACCAAGGGCTGGTGCGGGGGGGATGAAGCCTGTGAGTTTCTGTGGCCAGAACAGACCCCTGCCTCCCATCCCAGTCAGCAGCTCTTGCTTTTCTCTCCAGGTCTTCTCCTCCTCCTCTTCTCCCCTCCCCCTTGCTGCTTTGTTTCGGTGGCGGTGGCAGCAGCGGTGGCTGGTGCTATAGCGGAGGGAGCTGTCCAGCAGCCAGCTCCTGAGATCCCAGCTGCTCTCCATTAACCACAATGTAAGAGCAATGAGAGCAGCTCTACCAAACGCAGCCTGGCAATGGAGGATGATTTATTCCAGCTGAGACAGCTACCGTAAGTAGCACAGGGAAGAGGGACACAAAGGGATTTTTTTTTTTTAAAGCAAACTGCAGATTGATTGTGATTCCTACTGTTCCTTTTTTTTGTAGTGGGAAGTATTCCTTGGAAATGGCTTAGGCCCAGAAAGCAGGCCATTTTCCTTGTCTCTCTGCTCAGGTTCAGCCTCCTTGACCCTGGATCTTTTCTGCTTTATCCCTGGATCTATTGGAGGGAGGTGGTGGCTTCATAAACTCACCCGATTTGTATTTTATTGGGAACTTTGGAGGGAAGGGGGGTTAAAAACTCAAAGCTTGCACTGGGTTCTGTTGAGAGGAAACCGTAGCAATGCATTTGCAATGTGGATTGTATCTGTAAACAATATTGTGCCAGGGAAGGCATCTTCCTCGCTGCCTACTTCATGCAGTGAAGTAATTGCAGATCTCAACCTTTCTGCAAAGGTATGTTTGTCGCTGGTATGTGCAAACTGTGTGGTTTGAAGAAGCAGACAATGCCCAGGGAAAATGACTTTACGTGGCAAACACCTTGCCGTTTGGGGATGTGAATACTAGATCTGTGCAAAGAGCTGAGAGCAATGTTATTGCTGGCTTACCTCTGGGAGTGCTTTTTCTGAACACAAAATACTGGTATTTCCTTTAAAAATAATTACCTTTTCCTCCAGACTGTTGGTATGCTGCTGAAACATAGCTGTATTTGTAAAACAGTGACTGAGGAGAACCAAAAATAATGGCTTGAACTGAATTACAAACATTGATGGGATTATATTAACGACAAAATAGATCATTCAGTAACATTTCTAATGAGTCAGGCACACAGGATTACATGAACTTTAAATAATGCTGAAAACTATATATTGGATATGTTCAGTTCCTTGGTCAACATCAAATAGATGCATGTATTCTTTAGGCTATTTTTCTATCCTTTTTTAAAGAAGTGGCTAAAATGCCTTTGGCTGAAGGTGCAATTGGCTGTATTCAGCACTCCGAGGTCTTGCACACAAATGCAGCTCTCTGAGGTTCCTCAGGGCTGAGAGATTTCTGAGGTATGCAGCAGGAAGCACCGGTGTGTTTTTCCTTCCTCAGTTTCCTAGGTTATTTAGTCAGAAGCAATGTTTTATTCTTTGTGATGATGCTCGGGGCCAAGTTCTTCAGTTTTTACTCAGACAGAACTTGCATTGAACTCTGTGCAATTTGCAGATGACTTGCTATGTGTTTGTCCAGAATCTGGCTCAGTTGTGACCCTGGCCAGGCTTTGGGCACTACTTCCGGATGCATGTCAAATAGTAATAAACAGTAATTAATATGTGGCTGGAGGATCAGACTCTTTATTAATAGGTATTTATTATCATCTATTTTTGTGTGCGGTCTGTTATGATATAAAAATTACCCTAACATGTTGTAGGAGTGATTTTTGACTTCTAAGCTCAAAGGGTAATGGGCTACTACAAGCCAGATTCCAAGCCCATTGAAATCAATGGAAGGATGCCTGTTGACTTCAGTGGACTTGGGACTGGGTTTTAGGTGTGCTGACATTCTGGGATCTTGTTTGCATAATGATGCTGGTAAAATGAAAGTACAAAAGGAAACAAGTCGATTCACTTCCCATACAATTTTTGTACATAAAGCATTCATGCTAATTGCCTTCTGGTATCAAAAAAGTCTTTTCACAGACTAAAACTTTCAGTATTTGTTTGCTGGACATACAGACTCTATAAATTACTCAAGACCTGCATCTTCATTCTGTTGAAAAGCTGGCATGTTATAAGAATGACAAATCTCAGAGAAATGTCAAAGAAATAGTAAACAGTTGTTTTTACCTCCGAGGGCCAGCAAAGGGAAGTTCAAAGCAACTCCATTTTTACTGAGATAAAAATGATTTTAGGAGAATTTAGAATACAATTTATTAATGAAGTGGAGTATAAACCTGAACTGAGAATCTTCCTTATTTTAACTGGATGCAAAAATCCTTCATACCTCCCAAATTATTAAATAAATTCTATTCCCTTGAAGTCAAAGTTGGTTTTTGCATTAATTTCAATAAGCCCAGGATTTCATCCTATATAATTTCATTAAAATGTAGAAGGGTATGATTTTTTTTTTAAAAACAAAAATGGATGAAACTCTGTTCTGCCTTTGCTCACCTGCAAAGACTTGAAGTCCTGAGACCAAGTATGCTGGTTCTCCTGCAGGAGTTGATGGCAATGGGAAAGCAGTGTAAGGAATACCTTGATCAAATCCTGAGATACTCTGTGTACTTTAGGAAAATCTCAAAAAATGTCTTAGAGGCTGCACCTCAGTTGTTCAAGGAAGCGGATGCAGTGGTAGCCCCACACAGGCAGACACTGCTCTGCCAAACATCCACACGCTGCAAAGATCTTTAGTGTTGAAAGCACACCTCCAGAGAGCAGGTGACTGGGGAAGTGCTGTCTGTGACCGGCTGGGTCAACAATGTGGTGCGGGTCCATGGACTACCTGAATTCAACAGAGCAAAACAGGAGGCCACATCTGCTGCGCCTCTGCACGGTTCCTTTTAGTGCCTGCAGCCCAGTCACATGGACAGCCTGGGCTGAGGAGTCCAGCCATCAGCCCCTGCTGTTTTTTCATGGATCAAGGTCCTCTGCTGCCACCCCAGCACTTTGCTGCGTTCTGGGTATCAATGGTGTCATCAGCTCTTGCAAGAGAAACACAGAACTCAGGTCTTGTCAAGTATGGAAAGTCTTTCAGTTCACCTTTAAAAACTGTCGCCTGTGCATCTCTGATTGCAGCTGCTGCAGCTTGCAAGGATGCCTTATAATTTGGTTTTGATGCCCCTTAAATAGATAGGATAAAGACCCTCACTGCTAGGGCAGAATTAAAATAGCCAGGGACTGAAGGTCCACAGCTGTACTAAGTTGATTTCTTTCCAACGTCTTGTTCTTACATTTTCAAGAGTTGCAAGTATACCAGGTGTCTAAGTTATAGTGATGCTACAGAGGGCATAGAAGAAATGAAAGCAGCTTTAAAGATTCTGTTACCTAGGGTTAAACATTGTGCATTTTGGCTTAGATCTGGCTCAAATTCTCTCTACTTGTGCCCTGAATATTTTCCATGCATGTGAAAGTAAAAAGATGGACAATGGATGTTGCTCTTGGCTCTAAACCAGTCAAACCAAGTATACAAGTGTGACTTTAGAAAGGGCCATTGTGAAAAAGCACTGGTGAACAGCTTTCTGATGTGTAGCAAATCCCAGCTGCATGAGGTTTAAAGTTAGTATCTCCGGCATAGACAAGACACTACTGTTTCAGCTTTTTCTTCTTGGTTGACTTCTGGCATCATTTATGTTGGGCCCACTGGATATGGAAAGAAGACTAAGGTAGATGTCCTCTTCTGTGAGGGATAGCTGAACTCTTGCTGTGAGAAAAAAATATCAATTTGATTCCTTGATCAGTAGTTGCTTGTCCAGGAGGCCAGCAATGGAGCTGATGGATCTCAATGGCAGAGCACAGATCTGAGAGAGGTATAGAAGACATACATAATTTACTGCCTGTTCCTTGATTTGTCAGGGTCTGTATTACTTGTAAGTACTTAAACCTTGATTCTGCAGTTCTTTCTACAGCGCACAGCAGGGAAGGCAAGATTTTTGAACTATACAAAAGCATGAATGGGTGGCAAATGACAGGGTTTCAAGTGAGGCTATGTACTAGGTATAGGGAGTCCTTAGAATCATAGAACATGAGGGTTTGGAGGCACTTCTGGAGGTCACATCTAGTCCAACTCTCTGCTCAAAGCAGGACCAGCCCTAACTACATCATTTCAGCCAAGGCTTTGTTAAGCCGGGTCTTAAAAACCTCCAGGGATGGATATTTCACAAGCGTTCTGGGTAACCTGTTCCAAACTTCACATGGAGCTGATGGTTTCAGGGCCTCTGTGAGGGATCCTGTGGAACGTGGGCAAAGAATGAGTGTGTCCTGGGTGACCTGGGCTCAAGAGTGACCATCAGCACGGGTTCACTTCACTCCTTGCGAGGAGTAACCTGGCAGTCAGGCTGCAGTGCACTCATTAATACTCAATTGGGTTCTTCAGCCCTCCCCTTCTGATTCATTGCTCTTAGACTTGTGCTTATTCTGCCCTTATGCTGGGCCAAGCTCTTAATTACAAGAGATGCTAAGTGATTACTGCATTCATTAAATAACCTTGTGTATCAAAATAAGGCCTAAGTTCCAGGAAAGGGTATTCCCTGTCTCTGGCAAATGGGTATTTTTAACTGCCCAAGAAGCCAGTTAAATTTTGCACCCCCCAGATCACGAATTCAGGATCATTCCAGGAAGACTGTAAAACAAATCTTTTTTTTCTTCCCCTGCATGCTTTGAAGTTCTTGAATAAAAACATTGCCTCCTTTTTTTTTGGTAAACAGTATGTAAATCACAAGTCTGTAAATCTTTAAATGGCATATTTATTCTCCATGTGTTTTACTAGATACACATATCTGCATTTTGTTGTGCACTGTTAATATTTATAGGCCAGGGACTAAGCAAGTATGTTTGAAAATAGCTTTATCCTTGTGGGATCTATTTCTAAAATAATTTTACATAAATGCCCCAAACTTGACTGCTTTTCCTTAAGGGAAACATGAAGAAGCTGAAGTTCAAAATGGTAGGCAATTGTAGCTGTTGCCCAGTGCCATTTTTCTCAGTTGTGAACTCATTGTTCATACAGAAATCATCTAAAAACCATAGGTCATAGGTTCATAGTTTTTGCTATGCATAAAAAAAAAAATAATGAAAGAAGCTACAATGTTATTACAACAGTGAGCTCTCTCAAGGAAAGTATCTGCCTGCTATCCATTAATATGCTGTGCCATTCACTGCAAAAATACTTGCAGTACTTTACCTCCGTCCGAATGATGGTTTCAGTGTGGTTGCTGAGCTGTGGTTCTTAGCTCTGTTATATAACCTTGTAAGTGGGGGTCCTTTTACCCTTCATTAGGTTGAGATGAGGCCAGGGACCAACAAAACACAAACCTTTCTGGACCTGTTTGTTCACTGTTTGTATGCCCAAAAGGCTCAGTAAGCCTTGATGACCGTGGTATTGCAGCCATTGCAGAAGCTGGTCCTAATGCCAAGAGCTTTCTGAAGCACTGGGTTGTAGTCTTGTTTTGCTGCTATGCAGAAGTCAAGGGGGCCCGTGCTGCCACCTTCCATCCAAAAGCATTTCCTGTTTGGCGTTGCAGATGTTACCTTGTTAGCTCAGTGCAAAGCTCAGTACTCAAGTATTTGCCTTACTCAGGCAAATGCTTGGCAACACACCAGAGTAAAGAATGAGTCCAAACCTAGTGAAAACTAAGCACAGACCTCTGGATTTGTCTAGTAACAATTTTAGTCTAACTGTTTTCATATTGATTATTAACTATGGTATCTCCATCATTTTAGATTAACAAAATGGTTGGCCAAGATAAGTGTCTTGAACTCTGAGGTGGTGTGAGCCCCTTTGCTTCCCTGGGAATTGAGGATTCTTCATTAGTAGGCCACCTTCTGACATGTGCTGCACATTCAGCCTCTTCTTAGGATGCACAGTATCTAGCTTACCAAAATCATGTATGTATCAAAGAAGGTTGCTTCCTGTAACTCTGCAAGGAGAACAGAAATCCACAGCATCCATGTGAATACGCATTATATTATACATATTATGCCTCAGGTTAACCACCCAGTTTTAACTTAATGGGATGGTTTATTGGCTATTTTCTGCCAGTAGTTGTCTTTCTGGCTTCTTGTCTGTCTGCACACACACTCAACATGGATTAAATATAGTTGCATTGTTTAATTTCATATGCGTTGTCCTTGTTGTAGAAATAGCCCAAATTTAATTTTCTACATTGTTTTCAGAAGAATGATTTGTGTCCTAGGGGACAGCAGTAATCTTGAAATTTGGCAAGCAGCTAAACATTACATAATGAAGCAGGATTCATAAAGTAATGCAAGAAATGGACTAGTTCTTTTTGCCTAGACAGCAAATGTGAGGATTCCATGAATGTAAATATGATCCCTTCTACATGCTACTTCTATTCTTTCATTATTTCTGTCAAACAGTTGATTCATTTAAGTGTTCCTTGATCCTATGTAAATTGGAAAGGCAAAAAGATTTAAACAGTTTTGAATAGTGAACCACAGGCCCTAAATAGCTAGGATTGTTTTTTGGTCACTTGTTCATGTTCAGAACAAGTCAGTGGAGGGAGAAACTGAAAGCTCTTACTCTCTGATAACTGTACTGTGTGAGGTATCCAATGTGAACTAAGCTGGTAGTTCTCCTTTCAGTTGCCGATAGACAAGTTTCTGTATTTACAGTCACTGCTGGCAGCATGAGCCCCCACCTCTTGTGCTTAAGTCTCAGCAGGAAGGCTGAAGATTGACTGACAACTGAACTTCTTTGTCACACTCTGTTTAGGGCTAAGATACCTTTATTGGGAAACCCTTGTCCCACCCCTCTTAGACCTACTCTGTTTTTTCAGCCCTTCATTCTCCATGGCTGCCTACCTCCATATGCTGTGCACGCATTACATTTTACACAGTGTTAATTCTTTTTGTTAGCAATTAATGCCAAGTGTACATGCAGTGGCTCTCTCCTTTTGAGTCTATAGGCAGTAAGTATTGTTCTTTGCTATTCACAAAATTAAATTAAACAGGGTGAAAGATTTATTAGGGCTTTAGATTCAGTGTGTCACATGGGGCCTTCAAAATCTGGAATGATGAGGTCTGGGTACTCCAAACCTCACTGCTTGCTTTATACCACCCTGGTAATGAAGATCAGTTGGGACAGACTTGCTTTCAGTCAGAATATGAATGTGCAAGACCTGTTTTTTAAGGTTAGTCCCCAATAATAACACCTGCATTTCTTCTTGCAGCTGTGAAACAACACACAAGTAATGGAGGGCACAAACAACATTTTGCACAGCTCTCTGGTTGACAGGCAGAGTCAGGTGGGCTGACATGCAAATGTTCAAGCATTGCAGATGCCAGAATATAGGCAGAAAACTGAAGGCTGGCATAGTCTTGCATCACAGGGTACCAGGGCACCTCTGCTACAGTTTTTCCCTTTTTGGTCTTCAGGGCACAGCCACTCACAATATGGCTTGACCCTCTGGGGAGCTGAGATGTATTCTGCAGTAACAAAGTCCTTTAGTTACAGCCCAACAGAAACACAAAGCAGGCTGGCCAGGCTTAGCTTCCAGTCCTCTTCCTCTCCTAGTCAGCTGCCCATGCTGTGAAAGGCTTCCCCAGCCGCAGCCACAGATTTCTGGCTTCAATCAAGCCAAAAATCGACTTCCACCAAGGAATTTAGACGGCTCCTAATTCCATCTGGACTTCTTGTCCCAGAGAGCCTATCTGCTTCCTTTCCTACCCTCAACTTTTTTACTTCTTCCTGTTGAGTCTCTTTGGTACATTCCTAGGGTGGTCAAGTTTCGCCGCACAGGGGAGAGTTCCAGGTCAGAGGAAGATGCCATTTCGGGAGAACACGAAATTCAGATTGAAGGTGTCCAAACAGAACTAGAAGCTATAGAGCTGGAGGATGGAGCTGCGGTGCCAAAGGAGTTTGCCAACCCAACTGACGGTAAGCAAGACTCTAATTCTCCTTTTAAAATAAGCTTGTGGCTTATTCTAGCCATGCTGCAGCCAAGACTGAGTCTGTCGCCTTGAGAGAACCTGCCAACCAAGGGAGTTAGAACAATGGGGCTGAATGATGAATGATGTGCCTGTGACAACTGGACTGCCTTCTCTAGGGGTCAGCTTGCTTATTTGTTTTACTGTTATCAGGACTGGACCCCAAACAATCCCATATGGAAACACTCGTGAATTGTGGGACAGGTCGAAAGTTGAACACAGGAGCCAAACTTTGCACGGTGTCTTTACAATACGGCAAATCAAATCAAACGTTCCACACAGTTGGTAACTTCAAGTTCTGCATCTGAGCTTGAGACTTCAATCCACTTCTAAAAATCGGTTCCAAGACAATAAAACTGACAAACTAATCTGCTCAAATGTCGAAAGCCCAAACAAAGGATCTGGATCAGTTTACAACTGACTCCTTAGAGCACTAATTTAGGAAACTTGAGGAGAGTTGGCTTGGCATGTTAATTTTCCAAGGTCTCTTCTATTTTATAGTCTGCTGTGAGTAGGTGCATGTAGTTGAGTTCTTACTGGAATTGCCCTGTAGTCTTTTTTGCTTGGGGCTTTTCAGAGTTTGCTTTTGGGTAACACAGTAGAAATTCAGCTGATTTAATTCCAAGAGATCTGTAAAGAGGCGGACACGATACTAGTCAACCGAGTTAGAAACTCGGTATCCATGGGCTCAGGATGGGAAAGACTGGAGGATTACCTGGCTGCTACCAAAAAGGAAACATTTTAACCTTTATAGCCCTAAAACTTCCTGAGAACGGAGTCTTGGTCTCTCACCTTCCCTCTGTCTGGGAGCACTGGAAAAATTCCATTTAGAAATGACGTGCCGGGTTCATGATAGCACTTCCATGTGGCTCATCTTCAAAGCTGAGCATGAAGCCTCTGCAGTTTTCCTGTCTCTCTCTGGCCCAGAGGACAAGAGGGAGGTACTGAGCCAACGATTCCAGCTACTGTCCGCTGTGTAGCAATACAAAGGCAGGAGGTGGAAAAACATGTTGTTCTGAAGACACATCCACTAGATATCTAGAAGTCAAGAAGACATATTTTCTTGATGTAGTTTGAAGCCAGTAGAGCACTTGGGAATGGGCATAGTATTGATTGGGTTTCTTTTTTCTGTTTCTTTTCCAGTGGTGGTGGAAAAATTAGCAGGATGGAATTACAATAGAATACATGCCCTTGTTTGTTTTTTTTGGGGGGTGTTTGGTGCATTTCCTCAGCTACACTTTTGTGCCTTGCAGTTATTTAAGTTTAACTTTCTTGAATGAGTCTCTACATCCGAGTGACTCTCTCCAGAGAGCTCAGCTTACCAATGAAAGTCTGGGCGTGTGCATAAATGTGGAGAGAATTTATGTTGGCCTGTTGGCCACAAACAAAATGTCTAAAATACCAACATCACAAAAAGTCTCTGCACCATTTTTTTAAGGGGAGGGTGAGGAAGGAAGGAAAATGACTTACAGCAGTTCATTACAAGGCTAGATGGAGTTTTTAATGTGGGAAACTGGCTTACTATGTGTATTGACCATTGGTATTGGCAAAACTTTGAGACAAGCTGCTTTAAATGACTATGAAATTAAAACAACATTTAAACCATGTTTTTCATCCTAAATTTTGCACAGACATAGTTGGCAATGGACAAGTTAGTAAACATGAGATAGCAGAGATTTTTCAAAGGAGACAAAATTCAGGTCCTGCTGATTTGTAGGATTCAAGACCCTTTGGTATTTATAGCAAAGGTCTGGATAGCTGTTTGAATGTCCTGGCCAAATTCTCAACTCAGATATGTTTTGCCACCCTAAATTCCCTCTGTAAATGTAACTGCATAAAGTATTACTGCTAACTTGCTGTCCTCTTGTGTGGTATTGTTACGTGCTAGTAAAGAGCTACTGTGCTTTACTCCAGAGATAGCTGCATTTCAGAGGCTGGTGAAGGGACCCCCATATATAGAAACTCAGATCCTCAGCTGCTGTAAGTCACTACATCCCACCCCCCCTGAAGCCCATGTTCATAAAATCTGACTAACCTGTTTGAAAACTTCTAGGGATGGAAATTCCACAATTTCTCTAGATGAACTTGTCCAATGCTCGACCACACTCACAGTCAGAAAGTTACTCCTAATCTCGAGCCTAAATTTCCCCTGCTGCAACTTGAGACCATTGCTTCTAGTTTTATCCCCTGATGTCATACTGATTTTATATTTTTAAAAATCTGTATATATGTAAGTTCATTTATTAATTTTCCTAATCATGGTGTTTGGCAAAATCTTTGAAGAAACTGGGGGTTAGCGTGTATAAGAATTGAATACAAATGAATTTAGACTGTAACGATTTAGCCTATTATTAAATTAATAAAAAATAGTTGGATTATTAGAAAGTGCCATTTTAGAGCACATCTCTTAGCAGGGAAGAAATGAAGTGTTGAACCAGAAGCTCTGTTTCTTTTCCAGATACTTTTATGGTGGAAGATGCGGTGGAAGCCATTGGGTTTGGGAAATTCCAGTGGAAACTCTCTGTTATTACTGGATTAGCCTGGGCAAGTAATTGTTGTCAAGGTCAATAGCATGGACTCTGTGTCATACATTAATGTCTAAATGATGTATTCATACCCTGAGAACAAAATCCCCCAACCTTTCATGAACAGAAATACTGTTTGAAGTGTGAACTGTTGCCAGAATCAGAGCTAACCTATACTGCTAACCTATGCTAAGCTCCTTTTCTTCTTCCTCTAAGATGGTTGGGAGGGTCCAGGTAGACCTGCTGCTCTAAACTCTCAGGCTGCTGCTACCATAAGTTTATCCAGTTTTTCCTTAATCTGGTCATTTTACCACATTCATCCTCTTGGGCAAGATATTCCCTTTTCCATGTGTTTCCAGCCTCAGCACATTTTTCCTGCTGTCTGAACAAATCCCTGTACTCCTAGGTTTAACTGTGGTACCCAGAGCAAAATGGTCTCTTTTCTATTACTCTGTCCTCTTTATTATTTGTTAGCCAGATCCTTTGTTTCCTAGTTATTGTCCATATATTGGATTACAGTCTGTCCTGGTTCAGTAACTGAAGGAGAATGTGGCCCACAGATGTCTTAATGTACATGAACCAAATTTGTGGGTGATGTATAAAGAGGTATATAAGTTATGTGGCATGAATGAATGCTTGTATTTGGGAGTCTAATGCTGATACAAACCGTATACTAAGTAGCTAGAAAAGAAGAGCTAAACAGACTCCCTGAAACTTTCACCATCACCAAACTGCATCACTCTTAAATTTGGCCCTTTGAATCCTACCTGCTTAGTTTTTTTTTTCTTAGCGTTAGTAAGAATTCTGCAATCTTGTAGCCTGAGTGCCTACATTGCAACACTTCCAGCACTGTGCCTTGTATCTAGGGAATGAGTTTGGAAGTGCTTATGTCCCTACCCAACTTAAGTGCTCTGAAGATATATTGCTGTTTTCCACTGCACTGTGCAAACCTGCAGTACCTTTCATACAGGGTTGCCTTGTTTTGCCTCCATGGTCAGAATAGCCTCATCAGGGCAAGGTTACCTTCAAAGAGATAAGCAATCTTATGTTATGTCAACCTGATTTCTCAGCAGTCATTTATTTTTTCTTTCTTGCCCTTCTAGATGGCAGATGCTATGGAAATGATGATTCTAAGTATCCTAGCTCCTCAGCTTCATTGTGAGTGGCGATTACCAAGCTGGCAGGTTGCATTACTCACATCGGTAGGAAAAATAGCTGACAGCTCCTGTATTCTGTAAGGTGTTCCCACTCGTTGCTATTCAGACATGATGGTTTCTATCTCCATGTAAAATCTGCTCATGGGCTTTGCAGACTGGAAACAACTCTGATGTTGTCTTACAGGGGTATGGAAGCCTTTCTTTAAAAGCCAGAGTCTGAAGAAAATAAACATAGCCTGGATCATGGCATGTTTTGGATGTCAAGTTTCATGCAATTTGCAGCCAGTCTTGCAAACTTCCACAGGTTCATTATGAACTTGGGCTTCCGACCCTACTCGCACAAAGTTTCATAACTATGGCAACTTTTCCAGGATGCCTTCTCTCTCACTATCTCAGGAAAGTTTAAACTCCTTTGCCCATACCAGGATTGGGAGCCCTGGACTAGAGTGGGATTTTGCTGTTCAAGCAAAATGGTGCCTGGCAGTGGAGCCCTCACAGATTAACCCTGCAGGAATGCAGGTGGGCTTGGGGAGGAGAAAACTGGTCTTGGGATACGACTAGGTGACTACCTTTTACTTATATATTTTGCTGCTGTGTGGCATGTAGGTTAACTCCAACCCCTGCCTTTTTATCTCCAGTGGACTTTGATGACATTTTTGGGCCACAGCATGATTGCACACATTTGTAGACACACTAATATGCTTTTAAACCAAAAAGTCAGTTTAAACTGCCTGCCTCTGCTCCAGCTGAAATCAAACCCAATAAAAGCCCAGTGCCTCAGCACAGTACAGTTTTAGCTCAGAATGAACAGGGGGTGGAGTAGCAATCGGTATGAGATAGAAGCTGATACCTTTGTGCCTTTCAGAAGTGAGCACCCTCTCTGACACCATGTGTTGCTTAGGTTCACATTTCTTTCTCAGACAAAATTCTCACTGACTTTTGACTGAGCAAAGACCTCAAGGTCTGGCCCATGGGTAAAGCTGGGAATCTGGTAAATGGCATGAATGGGGCAGGATTTCAGCCCCTATCTTTCTTTTCTGGGATGGGTACAGATTGTTTCAACATTTTAATCTTCTTACCGACTCCTCCAGAATTGTAAAATCTAATCTGGCCTTCAATGAATGACACTATTTTTGCCAGTGAAACCAAACCTCACTCAGCTGCCTGGTGAAACTGTCAGTCAGAGGCTAGAGATGAGCTGGGGCTCATACCCAGAGGAGCTATAGCTTGCAAGGTACTGATCGTGTAAAGAACTTAGGCATATGGTTGCCTTCAAACAACTGGCTTCCCTATAGAAGCTAGGGGGCTTCATACCTTGCAGGCCTGATCTCTAGATGCCTAGGATCCCAGGATGCCCTTTCTGCAGATGCTCTCTTAAGGCAAGGCCTTAAAGACCTTAAGTTTATTAGCAGCTTGCACTACCCAGCCACTATGTCATATTTTTTAGTTTATCAGAAATATATAGGTGGGATTTAAAAAAAAAAAAAGGACTTGGCACTGATCTAACTGATCCTAGTGAAGTCACTAGAAAAACTCCCAGGGCTCTCAATGGGAGGGAAATTTTGAGGTAGTGCTGAGCAATCTCACTGTGTGTATATCCTTTAATAATCTCTTCCCAGATGAGCTGTGCCCCAGGCACCCAGCAATAGTCATTGGTAACAATGAGGGTTTGGATTTTCTGGTCTGATTGCAGAGTTGCACCATTTTCTTTTCTCTGCTCTTACCTGACTCTCTGTTGATGCCTCCTGTTAAGAGGAAAACTTGCTTCTGTTCCACAGGTAGTGTTTGTGGGGATGATGTCGAGCTCCACGCTCTGGGGGAACATGTCAGACCAGTACGGCAGAAAAACAGTAAGCGTCCCCCTTTTACAAGAGTATATTCTGTCATATTGTTGTTTTAGGACACTCTGCTTGAGTCCATACCATGCTACCCCACTGCAGTCAACAGGGCTGCAGTAAATAAGAGTGAGAAAAATAGAGAGTAGTGAAGTGGATCTGTCTGGCCATGTTGCAAAGTGAAGCATATTTTTCTTCCATGAGAGTCCCTATGAAATTCTGGGCACTGGTACAGCAAGGCACTTAAGCATGTGGTGACTGCCTGTGTTGCGCACACACAATATGTATTTGTTTGTGCAAACCACAGGGATTGCAACTTGGTGAAGAGCACCTGCATGCCATAATCCCAAGTGCAGCTCTCCAGTGCCCTTTGACAAATTTTGGCCTGGCTTTGTGAAACACATGGTTCCCAAGCTAATAGGAGCTTGGGAACCTATAGGAGCTTCCCAAGCTTCTTGGATGTCATAGGCTGTCTGAGCTGTGAACTCTAAGTTTCAGTCTTTATCTCATTAACTTATGTTACCGCATAATCCTTTTTCTGCTCGTTGGTTAAATACAGGGCCTGAAGATCAGTGTGCTATGGACCCTGTATTATGGGATTCTCAGTGGTTTTGCACCAGTGTACAGCTGGATCCTTGTGCTCAGGGGACTGGTGGGCTTTGGGATTGGAGGAGTGCCTCAGTCGTAAGTAAATATTCATGTTTTAAAATTTTCTTTTCCAGTTTTTTCTGTGTTGAAAGAGAAGCTGACATAGAATTCTGTCTGTTGCTCTGTTAATGCCCTCTGAAGCCACGTTCATAAAAAGATATTGGTCCTGATATATTAAAATGAACAAAGGTTTTTGAAATATCGTATTTCTTTGAGGAGGTAACTAAACTCCCCAGGGACTTGTACCTCCTTCTTTATGAATAAACTGTGCCCCTGAATTCAGTGTGATCAGGAGGGTTACAGGCTCCCCCTATTATTGGGTTTCCCTCTGCTAAATTAACATGCCACTGTGATTCAGTCTTGTACATCTAGAGCAGGAGGTTCTGATATGGTCTGCAGGTTTAATTGGCACTTACTTTGCTGCTCTAACCTGGAGTGATAATCTCTGGAAATCTGTTGACCACACACAGACGGAGCAGAATGGGCAGGATCCTTCTCTATCCCTCCAAGTATCTGGGACACGGGGTGAAGGTAGAAAGCACAAGCACTCCACCATTACAAAAGCAGAAAGGGGAGAATAGATAGTGTAAAACTTTCAGCAAGGCATAATATAGCCTGGGAGCAATGCATTGCCATTGCATTTCCATATTCTTTCCTAGGGAGGAGTGTGTAAGTGATGACAATGAGTTGTGACAATACCATATCAGAATATCAAAGCTAATAATCAGAGGAAGGGCTGAGCCACAACCCCCTTGTGTTTTGTGAAACTTCAGATTTTCCAAGCCTCATCTGTGAAATGGGTACAGAGTGGCACGCTAGCTCCAGAGAGTCTCAGACCTAGAATGGTTTGTCTGTTTCCATGGATTAGGCTCACCCTGGGCCAAACAAAGAAGCGAGACGACATTCCATGATGTGATTGAAGTCACGGGAATCGCCTGGCTGCAGGCTTTTCAATGTAAATGGAAAGGGAGGAGCAGAGCCATGCACTCTCCCCTCAGCCATTTATTCTAATGAATAATTGATGCCGTGCCCTACCGAGGTGCGATTTCAGTACAAGAGGAGCCCGACTCTGATTGATGGCTCTTGGACCTGTTTCTGAGGCAAGCCAATATCCTGTCCTGGCTTGCGGTGTTCCTAGTGCTGTTCTTACAAATCCAGATAAAGGGGCCTCAGCTCTGGTACTATTATTAATTTGCTTTCATTGCTGTCCCTGAACACTAGATGTGAATGCAATAGGTGCCTATGCTGGGAAAGCCATCAGTCTGTTGTGTACTTATTAACTGTGAGCCGGATCTTGCCATGCAGTCCCCAAGGACCGTTACTAGCAGGGGGCTGGAGAACAATTGAAGCAAAGCATGAGACTTGTTAATATTTTGAACTGTAATCATTTATTGATTTTATTTTATTTCACTGCGCAGGTATGCCTAGGTTCTTGCATTTTACAGACAGGCTATCTGTTTTATCCAGGTGCACAAAGAGAGCCAGTTACAGAGTTAGGAATGGTTTCTGTTTATCCTTAAAGAATGGTCCCATTGGCAAAAAGACAAATATATGTAAGACAGCAGAAAGAACCACCTTTTTATTATTCTTGAGCAGGCTATAGCCTTTTTCTTTTAGTGGTGGAATTTCGGTAGAGTCATTTAGCTATCTTTGTAATTGTATTATTTTGTTTTGTAATGGACTTGGGGACAGAGTTTCTATGAGAGATGCTATTTAAAATAACGTACTGTGTGATGGAAACCTGTTACTGCAGAAACCCCTTCAGCTGCACTTGAGAACCTGTGGCTTCCCTTGAGAATCATCCATGCAATATTGTGTGATGCTGGGTAAGATTATTCATGTTGACAGCATCCTCAGATCCCAAAGCTGGAGGTGCAGAACACTCCCGTAAAAGAAAGGCAACAGCCTACATACAAAAGCAATCACTTTCTGTCCTCTGGTGCCATATATGTGGGAATTCTCTGCATCCTATTACATGTAGCTCCATTTCTCCCTGTTTTTAATTGCTGATTTAATGTGATGCTGTTTGCAACTCTATCCCCCAATGAGCTGAGCTCTGGGAAGCCGCTCAGAACTTACTCTGGCATTCCTGACGTCAGCGAGAGTTTTGCCACGGACTTCAAAGGCAGCGTTATTTGGCCCTTAAGGAGCATCAAAAGCAGAAACAGGACAAGTGGATGGAATGCAAATACAGCAAGAGCACAAAAGTCCTATCAGATGGTTTGACACAGATGAAAAAATATCTTTGATTGACTAGTGTCCCTTGCGTTAATCCTCAGGAAACAGAGCAAATACTGCCCGTTGGCACAACGAGGGAACAAAGACTCCACAGAGCAAGCTAGGATATTTCTAAAATTCCTGCTTAATAAAAGAATGCAAATGATTTTATATGAGCAATAACAATTGCAGCCTTAAAGTATCCATCTCTTGGTGGATGAAAACGTAGAGTGGCCCAGTGTGAAATCCTTTTAGCTAGCTGTTACACCCAGGAGAAATACCTTCCCCCAAAGTTATTCAGGTTATGCACTGAATCCTGTGGACCACACTGAAAATGGAGTTTGAGTGCCCTGGTTTTTGAGCAAATTCACATCAAAGGTTGATTGTGTTCATTTTCTTGAGTATGAGGTTACATTGCTACAGAAAGGAGCAGATCATATGTTCTGTTACAATGGCAAAATCCCTACTGAAGTACATGGCATTGTTCTGGTGTAACTGATAGGAGAAGCTGACCTGTGCCTATCACACTGCTGGCTGTGTGGGTGGGGAAGGGGTTTTATGTTGTTACTATGGTGTTTGGCAGCTCTAATAGGAAATAAATTAAATGTCTCAATAAATTAAATGTCTCAATATACCTCTATGTGCTAACATGACTGTTTTCTCAATATTCCTGTGCAGGGTAACCTTGTATGCTGAATTCCTTCCCATGAAAGCCAGAGCAAAATGCATTTTATTGATAGAGGTGAGCACGTGTGTGTATAGTCCATAGAGGCAGAGGCCTAAATTCTGCTTTCAGTTATATCTGTTCAATCCCACTGATTGTTTCATAGTTTCATAGTAGGTAGGGTCGGAAGGGACCTGAGCAGATCATCAAGTCTGACCCTCTACCCTGGGCAGGAAAGAATGCTGGGGTCAAACGACCCTGGCCAGGTGATTGTCTAGCCTCCTTTTGAAGACCTCCAGGGTATAAGCGAGCACCACTTCCCTTGAAAGTTGGTTCCAGATCCTAGCCGCCCGGACTGTGAAGTAGCGCCTCCTGATGTCTAGCCTGAATCTACTCTTGGTCAACTTATGGCCATTATTCCTCGTTATTCCTCTATTTAAACATTTCACAACCAGGTAGAAAGAGTATGGGGCTGTATTCAGCTCTCTGAACTTAAACCAAAACTATACAAAAGTCAATGAGAGCAGAACTTGGCCCATTAAGAGTCAACATGTAAAAAGAAAAATGTGCGGTTGCTTCATGGATGATTGAAGCCAGACAAGTGTTACTGTGAAGGGGAGAGCTGTGCCATTACTTGCTCCATACTCAACAGGCTGTCCCAGTGAAATCATATCTTCCCTGAATTCATATCCCTTGAAAATACAAAATGAATCGTCTCAGAGAATTTCAGCCTAGAATTCATTTCAACTAATCAGAGGGCAGTAGACAAATTACTTTCATATTTTCTCTCTTGACTTAGCTAGCCTTGGGGTCCATGTGATTCCCCCAGGGAGGTCAGAAGTTCATTCTAAGGGTTGAATAAAGAGTTTATAGGAAACTAGTTCGAACTTCTAAGTGGAAGGAGAGAAAATGTTAGATTGGCCTTGGTGGGATCCGTGACAGTGTGCCAGCTTCAGCCTCCCTAGTAAGAGGCTCAATTCCATCTTCCAGATGCAGACCAAGCACTCACCTGTTGACTTTTATTGTTTATCCTGTATAAGGAGAATGGGATGGAGCTCCGATTGCACTATAAGTCATAGGAATTGCACACTTTAATGATCTTTTTCCTTAAGCTATTTTATCCTGCCAAGGCAGGGAGAACCCAGAATCCTCGTTTAATCGTCTGAATCTTAAGGAGTTTGTTCCTGATCTGATGAAACTGCATTCAGTGTAAAATACTGGAGTCCAAATTCAGTTAGTGGGATCAGTGAGGCTGCATCTGTAAATCAGAACTGAATTTGGCTCATGAACTGTCAATTAACTGTGACTCTTCATTACTTTCTGCAATTCTGCTCTAACAAATGGAATCAGCTGAGTGACCTTGTTGAAGGTTGAACCATAACTGTAGGAAACCTCCACTGTGAGTAACAAAGAATGTCCCTTCACATGGAAACCATTTGAGAGGGTTCAGGTGTTTTAAGCAAGGTTTTCTAGAAAATGCTGGAGCTAAGTTTTCAGAACTCAGTGTTTGCAGCAAAAGGAAAATCCTTTTCATAAACATCTGGATTTTTCTTTGCATTCATATTCATTTGTCCCAGGTATTTGTCTCACTGTCACTCCCTGCATTGCACTCTTTGGAACAGCAGGAGGAAGAATACATTCACAGAGATGCTTCTTCTCTGTTTGGTTCCCATGCTGTAATCATGCAGTCCCATATTGTCTCATCCCTTTTGTGACTATTTCCTTTATTGCTTTGGCAGGTCTTTTGGGCCCTTGGAACTGTCTTTGAAGTTCTCCTTGCTGTGTTTGTGATGCCCACCCTTGGTTGGCGCTGGCTGCTCATTCTTTCTGCTCTCCCACTCTTGCTGTTCGCCATCTTATGTTTTGTAGGTATTCTTTACAAGATAAATGTGCAGTACATTTAATGAGCCACTCTAAAAATGCAGTCCAACTGAATTGAATCATGACAGCACTGAGTATCCTGATGGCACTCTGTTAGTACATCTGAAATAAGGATAAAAATGCTGCTTTTTCAACAGGGAGCTAGTAACAGCCTTCCCAAAGGGTTATGAGGTAATGCTTGTTACCCGATATCTTGCTGGACAGCGATTAATGGTTGGGGTTTTGTGAAACCACATTCAGAATGGGACTCCTCTTCCCAGCATCCTGCTCCAGTTTCAGTTGAATTCAGTGGAATCAACCTTTTGCTCTTATTAATTGCTACTTTTCTGGTTCTTCTCAGGACTCGAATAATTTAACTGCAAGTCAGAAATTCTGTTTAATCTGTTGTTCATTAAAACGCCCCTTCAGCGTTCATGTGATTGCTTCATACAACATCTCTACAGCTCAAACTCTATCAGATTCATGTAATTGGTGTTCACCTGACCTGCTGTATGCTGTTAGGTAAATGTGTATGTCAAAGCAGCATGTGGACATGTCTACACGTGCATATTAATTAACTTCAGTAAACACTGGTGATTATCTTTATCGCACTGGAGTTTATTGCTTCTGGGCACGTATTTACACATGTACCTGGGATTGCACCATGTTGAGCTGGGTTGGAGCAACCTTGGCTGGCAGAAGGCTCTGGGGGTGGGGCCAGCCTACCAGCCCAGGGCTGCTCCCTCCAACTCAACATGCCGCGGACAGGCTGGCTGGGGTATGAGGGTACTTCAGTGCAGAGCTAGCTGGTAGGCAGCCCCTATGCAGCACACATGTGCTGCTGCAGAGTTTTTACAAGTACTATCCTGCTGTGGAGTAAATTAGTTTACTCTAGCCTAATAGGGGTGCACATGTAGATGCCAAGAAATTTACTGCGCAGCTAATTAGTCAACTGTGCAGTGAACTTCTTATGTAGATGTGTCCTACTGAAACACAACTTAAAAAGAGTTTTCTAAGCTGTGTTTATGTCCTGTTTGGGCATAATTGATTGATTGTTTGGTATTTTTCCTTAGCTATTGCCATTGTTTTTCAGGAATGCCTCCAGATAACTATGAAGGTATTGAAATCTTATTTTTAAAAAACTTTATAAGTACACATTTAGAATGTCTTGAGACTCCCGGTAACTTCACTAAGTGTTTTATTAATCCTGGTGTGAAAATACCAAGACACTGCAAAGACCTAGTCATCTCTTTTGACAGTGTAAAGTAGACAATTGGAAGAGGCCTCTTGTGAGAGAGACTTGAGATTATGGTGAAAGAAATACTTTGGAGTCTTGGAAAGCCCTTTGGAGAACCTGGTATCCATAGGTAGAAAAACAGTTCTGTCAATTATTACAGGTCCATTCTAGTATTCGTGTGAGCTTGGGTCATAGAACCCGTCCAGTCATTTTATTGTCTTGTCTTTGACATCCACTCTGCTCTCTAGTGGCTGCCAGAAAGTGCCAGATATGATGTCCTATCAGGAAACCAAGAAAAAGCTATTGCCACTTTAAAGCGAATAGCAACTGAAAACGGAGCTCCAATGCCTCTGGGAAAACTAATCATTTCCAGGCAGGTGAGTACAGATAAAAGGCATACTAATGTTACAAGATATAATAGCAACTGTGCTACTCTCACATATATTAATCTGTGTAATGTTTAATTTTGGCATCCCAGCTAGTAATAAACAATAATGAGGAGGGATTGCATGTGTTTAATTAATAGTGGTTTAAATCAAGTGCTCATTCCCATTTCCACTAAAGACTCTGGCAGTCTGAGGGGAGCTGTAAAGTGGGCATTAGTGACATTTTCATTCCCTTCAGGGCTTAGTGAAAATAAGAATTGGGCTGTGACAGTACCAGAGGTCCCATATCTGGACACTGGAGAGCCATGTAGTTTTGGCTCTCAGGCTGGATCATACCTTTGCAGCTAGCCCCTATGCCTGTAATGGAGGCTCAAACCCCTAAATGTCCCCACAAACTGTGGATGTGATTCATAGCCAGAGCCAGTTTCAACAGATGTTGTATTGGACTTATTACCTTTTTAGCCTGTATTTGGTCAGGGGGCAAAATATCCATTTTCAGCACCCAGATCAGTCTAGGAAATGGGTGTGTCTGGCTGGTACAAAACCAAAGCAGCATAAGAACTGAAAATAATAAAGCTGACTAGCATGGCATATATATGACTGAGTCCTGCCCAGACAAGGACAATGGAATTGAGCCCAAAGAGTTGTGTAGAGCTGGCCAGTGGCCTTGAGGGAATTTCAGGGCACACCATAGACAAGCCCCAGGTTGGGTTTCCTTAGGGCTCGGAATTGGTGAGGACTGGGAGCTCTGCCCAGGCAAGCTTTGCTTTGATACCCCTTAGAAATGTTTGGCCCAGCCAGAATCCTCCTGTTGTGCCATGCAAAAACACTTTGCTTAGCTGGGAGGCTTGGTTTTCAGGGTGGGGTTGGGAAATGGTTTTTGCTAAACCACAAGCTTGTGACCCAGATGCTCTGCTCCTCTCAAATCCACACAGCTCCAGGGGAAGGGGGAGCTGAGCTGTCAGGGCTCATCTTTCAGCTCCTTGATTCTCCAACTGCCCTGGCCTTGGGCCCAGCCTAAATTAGAGCCGCCTAGGGCTGTTCAAATTTACCACAGCTGGCTGTGGTGCCTAATGGATCAGACACCAGCTGCATAGTTCAGTACAGTGGAGCCCTCCCTCTTCCTACCCCCAGCTCCACCTCCCTGCTAATGCATTTCTGTCCTCCCCTGTGCTGGAGCACAGTGGCTCGTGTATGAGCCAGCTCTGATGACTTTACACCCCCCCAGCAGAGGCATTTTTACCTTGGCAGCCCTAACTAGATAGATGGTGGCTTCTTTGCACTGCTCCTAAAGCTCCGGTGGCCTCCACAGGGGCTGAGTGTCTGTAGATGTATCAGGCAGTACCCGGGAGAGTGGATGTACTGTGATTCCAAACAGTCTAGTGCCCTCTGATTTCTTATAGCATCGCATGAACTTGAAATCCTTACCGAATCAAACAGCTGCATTTTAATTTGTTTCAAAACAGGAGGACCGAGGGAAAATGAGGGACCTTTTCACACCCCAATTTCGGCGGACAACATTGTTGCTTTGGTTTATATGGTAAGAGGAGATTTAAATGGCACTGTGCCAGCATAGTGGATCTATGTGTTTTTGGATGAGTGCGTTTGCAACCTCACTGAAATACAACAAACCCTCAAAAAGCTGTATTGATTTGTGATTTTTCTAAACCACCTATTCACTTCCAAGCAATGGAAGACCTCACACTGCAGATCCCATTGTGATTTTATATTGATTATGGTTTGTCTGACCAGTTGAGACTTCCCCTCTCATTTCCTTCTGTGCAGGTTTTCCAATGCCTTCTCTTATTATGGGTTAGTTTTATTAACTACAGAACTCTTTCAAGCAGGAGACGTCTGCAGCAGTGAGTACCAGCCCTTCTCTTCTTTCTAAATATGCCCTTGTAAATGAGAAAGAGAATGTGTGGCTCCTTGTATTGAGCCAGCTCCTGCTGATGGCTTGAGAATGATCATGACTTCCAGCATGCAGCCAAGGAAAGCTTGTTAAAGCTTGCTTATTTTAACTGCTCATCCCTTTTCTGTGTTTGACACCTCGGGGTTCAGCAGTGGCTGGGGAAAGGCCTGCCTTGGCCTGAGTTGTGAAAACAGCAGTGCAACCTGCAAAGCAGACTGATTAGGGACAAGTGCTTCTCCTTCCCGAGTGCCATGTGATTCTGGAAAGGTCACCGTTCCAGTGTGGCACTCTCAGGCCTAATTACGGTTGAAGTAGAGGAAATTTTACCTGTCATTTGGCTCCCGGGTGCTTGACATATAAAGAGCTGTGGGAGGGGAAGGCATCATTTAAAAATAGGGCAACTTTGTTTGTTGTGTTCCTGTTTGAGAAATGTGTCAACTGCATCAAGAAGATCCTTGAGGCCCTTTCAAAATCAGATTTCTTTGGGGAAGGCATTAATCTATTCAGAATACACTGAATTAGGGGGAGCAGCACAGAGGCTAGGAAGTTATATGAAGGGGATGAGTAAGAATACAGATGCTGGGCTGATCTGGCAGCCTGGTGGCAGTTGAAGACAGAAAACTTCAGCTAGCTCCCAAAAAGTGCATGCATCTTGCAAAGATCTTTGTATGGAGAAACCAGGGGTCCAGAAATCAGACTGCGGGCTTGGGAAACAGAACTTTTGACTTCTTCTGCTAACTCTATCATCTGCTCTCCATAGGACACCGAGCAAGTCACTTAACTATTGTGTGCCTCATTTTCCCCACTTGTAAAATTTCACTGTTAAAAATGACAAACCTGCCAAGGTAGAAGTCTGCACTGGTAGAGTGTCACCTGCTTGGGGTGCTGAGAATGATTTTATTTATTCATGTTTGCAAATCATATTAATATTTCAAGGACGCTGAAATGCACTAAGCAGAGAATGGATGAGAGTAAACCCAAAGGTCTTTAGGAAGTATATATGGAACCATGTGAACAGCTTACATGGTCATTTTCTTCTAAAAAGTAGGATAAATAAAGAGAGTTTGAGGATAGCAGGAAGAGGGAGAAGGATTTGGGTTTCCTTGTGTTTCAAGCACTATAATAAATAATGATAATACTTTGCCTTTTCAGTAGCACCTTTTTGTCCCTGGTTCTTAAAGCTCTTTATGTTCACTAATGAGTTAGATCTGCTGTCACAGCCCTCCCATGGCTTAGGTAAGGTATGGATATCCCTGTTTAACAGAAGTGGAAACCAAGTCAGAGGAGGTCAGTGAGGAGGGTCACCACAGCCCTGTGCTAATAAGAACCATGACACTGATGAGTAGGTCGTCACTCTGTTGCTCATGGAGGCCAGATATGAGAAGCACAGGTCCTTGGAGCTGTGTGCTCTCTGTTGTATGCTCCAGGCAGATGCAGGTAGAATACACCTGCACCTATTCAGTGCTGCTGAATATTCCAGCTCCGTCACCCTACACTGGTTTCACCAGCAAGTCTACAGAAAGGCAAAAGGGTAGAGCAGGAGGAGGGAGGATGCGCACAGAAGAAAGGACTTAAAATATCACAAGTGTTCCTTCTTTTCCCTCCCACAGTTTCTAGTAGAAGGAAAACAGTGAAAGCAAAATGCAGCCTGGCATGTGAGTATCTGACAGAGGAAGACTACACAGATCTGCTCTGGACCACGTTATCAGAGTTCCCAGGTAAGTGCCAGTGCCCTGCCACGGGGTGTTTGCTGCCAGGCCAGTCTCTGGGATCTGCCTCATAAAGCCATAGTGGCCTGTCTGGTTATGGATCCCATTCAAGCCACATGCCAGGCATTCAGGTAACAAGTAAATAGGGTTTTATAACTCAGTGAATTTTTGTTGCAGTGGCATTTGCATGAGCTTTCGTCCAGGTCTTGGCTTTCCAGAGGGATTTCTTCAAGAATTCTGGTTACAGTAGATCAGGGTTTGACTCGCATCTATTAGCCCCTTCCATGTACTGCATTGTTCTCCATCAGAGCTGTTGTTTTTAAGGCCACAGTTATTTAAATAAGCAGCATGACAATGGAGCATGCACAATGGGTGGCATGTGGTAGCAACAGTTCTATTAGATGTACAAGTACTTCCTGGAGTACTGGTCGACTTGCAATGGTATAATATGAGGCTCTGGATATTATCACCACTCTAGATTCATGTTTCAGGGGTGAACTCAACCCTGGCGCAAAAAAGAACGCATTTCCATTGCAGCCAGTGGGATATAGGAATGGAATAAAGCAGCGTTGGTGTTTGCAGATGGCTTGCAGCTGTGTTGAGCTAGCTTTTCTACTCATCATGCGACATCTTGCAAGTTTGTCAAACCCTGACTTTTTAAAAGCTGCTTTGGTGAAATAGGATCAGCTTATTCAAGCACAGCTGAATCAGACTTTTTCTGGCTGGCTCAGGAGGTGCTGACCAATGTTGTTAGGCCTGTCTCCAGCCACAGCCAGAACCCCAAATCTTGGCCTAGCTGAGGCTTGGAATGTCAGTCTTGCCAGGGTGTGAATGTAGGTTGTACTGCTTTGCAGCATACCTCAGCAGCTAGCCAAGGGAGTCCATCTCCCCTTTAGGTTAGGGCTAAGATGCAGCTGATGATAAGCTGGAAAGAGGCCAAGAGAATAAAGGAGGAGCTGTTGGCTCAAAAAATCTCATTGCCAGCTAAATTTGGCCTTCAGTGTAATTAGGATAGTCCAGTGTTAAGACTCCAGCATCGTTCTGTTCCGAGAACTGCTGTTGCACTTTAACACAGTCAGTGTCGGCAGGACTCTAGAACTGATTCTCTCAGCTCTTTTGCCTGTGAAACGCACGTAACATAGCTGCTCCTTCGCTCTATGGTAAAACAGCTAATACTGACGCAAAAACAGCAGAAGTGTTCCATAAATACATCTCTTCTGTATTTGAAAAGCAGCAAGATGATGTGCTGGTATCACATGAGTTTGATTAAGTACTTTTTCCAGTCCATTAGTAACCAAGGAGAATGTTAAACAACACCCAGTAGGGATAAACATTTTTAAATTAGGGAACACAGATATCTTTCACTAGAGAGTCCTAAAAAAGATGACTGAGGAGATCTCTGGCCCACTAATGCTAATTTTTAATAAATATTGGAAAGCCAGGGAAATTCCAGAAGAAAAATGCTAATGTTATGCAGTATTGAGAAAGGGCATGTGACTGTAGGCCCCTTAGCTTGACAGCAGCCCTAGGCAAGATAATGGAATAAATGAGATAAGATTAAATTAATAAAGAATTAAAGAATAGAAATATAATTAATGCCAGTTAATTGGGTTTAACAAAAATAGGTCACATCAGACCAACCTGATTCATTCTTTGAGTCAACAAGTTTGACTAATAAAGGTAATCCCGTCAATGTAACTTGCTTGGACATTTGTAAGTGTTTAATTTCATGTGAGACTCTGCGTAAAAAATCAGCACTAGGCTATAGCAGTTAAGCACACTTTAATGAAAGAACTGGCTAATTTCCAAAATTATGGTCAATGGGAAATCATTGTCACATGGGGCGCTTCTGCAGAGATTTGTACCAGGGCCAGTGCTATGCAACAATTTCATCAATGATCTGGAAGTAAATATAAAATCATTGCTAATGCAATTTGCAAATGCCACATAGGTTAGTGGACTGGTAAATACTGATTAGGTCATGGCAAGATAAAGGAGGATTGGAATCAATCAGTAAACTGGGCCCATTCTGGCAAAATGTGTTTTAATACCAGCAAGTGCAAGTTCTACACGTGAAAACAGGGAATGCAGGCCATGCCTACAGGAATGGGGGCTAGATCCCAGAAAGCAGGGATGCTGAGAAGGATTTAGGGACCACAGTGGGCGAGCAACTAAGTAAGTGCTCTTGGAGCTATGCTGTAGCAAAAAGAGCTAATTCAACCCTTGGATGCATGATGAGTAACAGATCTAACGGGAAGGAAAAGAATTAGTTTGTTTTGTAGCAAAATTAACTCGTAGGAGTGGAGCAATCTATGTCTGTTCCCCTCCAGGTGTTCTGGTGACCCTATGGATTATTGATCGGATAGGCCGCAAGAAAACCATGGCTCTGTCCTTCTTTGTCTTCTCATTCTGTAGTCTTCTGTTATTTATCTGTGTTGGAAGGTAAGTAACCCAAGTGGAAAGCAAGCTCAGATCCATTGACTCTTCTGCATGGGACGAAAGAGAGAGAGGGATGGTTTTAAAGGCCAAGTTAACCTGTGAAAAGAATTCCAGGAGAGCGTTTGGCTCCTCTCCACCCAGAAGTTAGAGGAAAAATAAGGCAAGTTTGCAGAGAGAAATCCTGCCCCCGTAATACTTTGAAGGAGGCAGTCATTTACAGCAACATGGGAAACAGCTCTGCAGAAATGTTTTGCGTTAACCTGATGCAGCACGGCTCAGCTGCTGATGCAGAGAGCAAAGCTGGTACCTCTGGCTTTTTGTTATGGGTTGTATTGGCCTTCTCCTGAGTCTGTGAGGACACACTAGGTTAGGCTCATGGCAGCAGCCCTGTCTTCCATTCTACTGCCCATGCCAGTTCACAGCAGAGCTTGGCCCATAGTAGTGAAATGGAAACTCAGTATCTCATGGAAGGCAATGGGTGCTGATCAGCAAAGTCAAGGTCTTGCCTTGGAAACTGCTGCAGTGGTGGAACCTTCCTTGGCTGTCAGCTTTCAACAGAACAGCTTTTCGGCCTACTCAGGAACCCATCAAGGCCAGGCATCCTGCAGCATGTAGCACCCAGCAGTTTCCACTATGGCCCAGTTTCCCAAGAGCCCATCACGCATGCACTGGGCTCAGGTCTCCACAACATCTATTTCTGATTGCAGGTGATGTGTCCTGTGGAATATTCTGGTCTTGGGTTCGCCAGGCCACTCCAAGCCTGAACAGCAGTCCATAGAAATGGCACCTTAGTTGCTGCTGGACTGTTTCCTATGGGGGGAACATCTAGGACATTTTCACATGCTCTCTGGCTGAGGATAAATCTTAAATTATATAAATAACTCCCCAAAAGTATCCATTTCACATGTCCCGAATCTGGTTCTGAACTCATTTACACTACCTCTGCTCCAGGGGCACTAGCTCAGGGCCACATTGGTGTGAGGTCAACCATAGAGTGCATATTGTTCTCAGCCAGGCATCTTCAGGCTGCCACAGGTTCACAGAATTTATTTCCTTGGTCACAAGCTGTTAATAGTGTGTTGAAATATAGGCTCTTAGAACAGTCCATGTGATTGCCGAGTCCAGCATGTTAGGCGTTATCATGCTCTAAAGACCTAAAAACTATGAGAGGGTCAATAAAATCAAAAGGAATCTGTTTATCAAAATTTGGAATATTTTTTTTAAGTTGCTCTTTGCCTCTATGTTTAAAGGAAGACTATTCAGAACCACCTAAACCCTGCTCTTGTTTCTCTCCTCTCAGAAATGTTCTTACTGTGCTGCTTTTCATCGCAAGGGCTTTCATTTCAGGAGGCTTCCAGGCTGCTTATGTTTACACTCCTGAGGTGAGAGTAGTCATTTATGTAACGAGAAGTTTTAATTGGGGTGAGGTCCTGGTGTGGGAAAGCTGAATGCTATCGTCTCCTGATCATGGATGTGTATACATTTCTTGAGTCCACTACGTTGTTATAGTTGCCTAAATGGCATCGACTCGACAGAACATGTGCAAATCCTCATTGATTTAATGCGCTGCTGTTTTATCCAACAGGTTTATCCAACAGCCACTCGTGCTTTAGGCCTGGGTACGTGCAGTGGGATGGCCAGAGTGGGAGCCCTGATCACTCCATTTATTGCACAGGTAAAGTCCCCTCTTGTCCAAGCCTGGGGATGTGGTGGACAAAGCACAGCCAGAATTAGCCTACATTGAATGCTCCTAATGCTTCAGGGAGAGATCCATGACTCAGAAGGGCAGAGACCAGCAAGCTGCTACAGAGGGAGGTTGTGAGGAAGGAACAGAAATGATTGAAGAGCTCTAAAAACTCCTTCCTGTTACAAGTGGATCAGAGCCAGGAGGTTCGGAGCTGACCCTTCCCAAAGCAGGGATGGTTCGGCCATGGGATTTTCTTTGGTGCATGCGGGAAAAGAAGCAGGAGTTTGAAGAAGGAAGGAGACGGCAAGAGTGAGAAACTGACAAATGGGTCAGTACTTCAGGCCTAGGGACCTGTTTTCTGTACCCCATATCATCTGGTTGTTTGAGTGGTCACACAGGGAGGGCCTAACCTGGTGGTCTGCCGGCTGAGAGACGGCCAGCAACCCCTGGCTCCAACAACGGCTTTTTCAGTGGCTGGGCAATCCACTTTGTGGTAATTTTCCTGCCTCTAAAGTGAGGGTAATAATAGTGTCTTGCCCATGTAAGCCTTGAGCAAAGTATCCTGAATGTATAGAAGGGCTAAGCATCACCTACACAGCAAGAAAAGCACTCAATATGATGGTTTTCAAAAATCAAATTTTTTCCACAAAAGGAATTAAAATGTTACGGCTGCAGTAAAACATGTTAGTTTTAGGGTAGACCCAGGTCAGTCTTTCACATTGTCTCACTCGCTTTCCTCCTAGGTCATGCTGGAGTCTTCAGTCTATTTAACTCTGGTGGTTTACAGTGGGTGTTGCCTCCTGGCAGCTTTGGCTTCCTGTTTTTTGCCCATTGAAACCAAAGGCCGTGGCCTGCAGGAATCTAGCCACCGAGAATGGGGACAAGAGATGGTTGGGAGAGGGTTGCACAACCCCGGAGTGACCAGGTCAAATTCCAGCTCTCAAGAATGACCGCACGGAGGATGGTACATGGAAGAATTGTGTTTGAAAAGAGAAGCGAAGCGTATCAAGCTGACCGTACTGTCACTGCCAATGTCATGTGTCAAAATGCAGGAACTTTTGATTTGGACCTAAGCAAATTGTGTCTTTACTACTCTCTGCTCACACTCATACCAATGGTCTTGTGTAATGAGAGGCATTTGATCTGGTCGTCATTTAAAGTTTCAGGAGAAGGGATTTCTTTAAGTCTGTTTTGTCTGCATGGTCAGCTACCAAGCTTAAAATGTCCTGTGTCAAGCAAATAGCTCACTGAATGCAATTCAGTATCGGCTGTAATTTTAAAAAAATGTAATCTTGGTGCTTAAAAGCAAAAGATTCATATTTGTTCTGTACCTGGCATAGCACACGGTGGGTTCCATACACTACAGAATACGTTTTTCAAATTAGATGCCTGCCTTGCACTTTTTTAGTTATCAGCAACAACAAAATGTTGTGATAAACAGCAAACCTACCAATGCTTTCCAGCTCTCTTGCCTGGAAGTTTGTTCTTTGGAAATTACCAGGCACTGAGGGAGGTGTTTCGGAATGTATTCCCTGAATGTTTTCATTCCTCAAGGCAGAGTCGTTCGAGTCGGGACGAGTGGTGTTTGACTTGGAGATGGGCTGTTACAGAGAAATGTCAATCCTTGTGGTTTGGAACAGAATTTAAGTCTTCTACCATTGCCAGAAACATTGAGCACTCTATTGCATTGGTGAAGACTGCTTCAGCCTACCAGTGTCTGTGTGTGTGTGTGTGTGTGTGTGTGTGTGTGTGTGTGGAGATGCACGCTGTGGTTTACTGCATGGGTCCAGATACGTTTCTGCTCAATTTGCCTAAGTATGTTCTTGCACTGGTGTAGCCAATACCTGTGATACAAATGTCTTAATCTGAACAGCTGTTTGTGGCAGTTGAATAGAGCTGCTTTCAAGTATCTCCCCACAGGAACATGTTTCCTGACAGCTGGGCAGAACTCTTGGATAGCTGCTATTGTCCGTGGAATGTAATGCCGGGGTACGAAGGAATGTCATTGGCACCACGTCTTAAATAAATAGAAGTCCTGGGAGGAGCTGTACCAGTCATCGGCGGAGGATTGGCTCGGCACATGCAGATCGGGTGTGCAGACAGGATGTCGATGCAGTTCTTGCTCTTGCTGCAAGGAGTGGTAGAGTTCAGGTGAGGACAAGTTCACTTCATATATATATATATATAGAGAGAGAGAGAGAGAGATTTTTCTTATATATATATATATATAGCCTGTTTGTAAAGAATCTGTCACTCAACAGGGCTTCAGATCTCAAGGCTTGTTGGATGTGGAGCAAAAAAACATGTACCAGAACTCAAATATTTGTCCTCCATGTGTCTCAGTATGTTTTCAGATGTCCACCCTACAGAACACACCACTAAATATAAGAGACACACCGATGTCTCCTCTCTAGGCCATGGGAAGCAATACATTTTAAGTAATATATGTGGTCAGTTGTTCCACAGATGTGTAGTGTGTGTAGCTGATTTTGCACAGTGTATTTTACCTCTTTTCAGGACCCAGCTCTTCTCAACAGTTCTTAACACTGGGGTGGGAGTGGGTCATCAGGTTTACTGGCAGGTGCAAAACAAGTGTACACACACCACATTCAGTTTTCACTTAGGGAAACCTGGGGCTATAGTGTAGTGAAACACCCCAAGAATTTTCAGGCTCTTTGTGCTCTTCCATGGAAGATCCCTATAGGAAATTCCTTATAGGAACTGAGGAACTCCAAAATGCTAAGAAAGGCCAAAGAAGTTGTTGGCATTCAGTGTTGGAGAAGCATAGGATTGGCAAGGAATGCAATGGTCTGTGCATTCATTTCCCATTCAAATGTTGTGATTGCAGTGAAGGACTCTAGAAATAGTAGGTTTAAGCAGGTGAACTTTTCACTTCTTCAAATTAATATGAAAATGTAACTCGGTTCACAGAGGGATCAAACGTTACAGGTGGTTGATGGCATAGGGGAACGTTGTCTGTTCTAGGACTAACACTTGACTTTGGTTTTGGGGATCTCTTGGTATTGAATCTCAAGATGCTGAAGTTTCACTAATGTAAGCAGCTGGAACTCTTCAGTAGCTAGTACACCTTGGTAATAGCTCCTTCTCTTCTCCTTGCTGTAGTTGCATTAATCCCCCTCGCATACCACAAAATTGGAGTGGCTCAACCCTGCAGCATGGCACAGCAGCTTCTTTTCTTTGAGCACTCACTTGAACATACAAGAGGCATTTGGGAGAGAAGAAGCAAGCTGTGAATGGTAGAGGCACCTGGAATTAGACCTGACTTGAGGCCCAGTTATTTGGGCTGGCAATGAATTGCACCTGCACTAGTCTGAGGCTCTTTTTGAAAGTTCAGCTTAGCGCCAGCGAATATCAGTGGAAACATGAAACCTACAGCTTTGTGGAATTGCCATGTTAACAGCCTCATTGTCGAGCCTCTCTGCCTATTGTCTTTGAGCACCTTTCCTGAAAATTTGGCTTCTGCCTTTCAGATACTCGTATGCACGCCCTTCAGCCTTTGAGTCAGCATTCGACAGCTTAAAACTGTTGCATTGCAAAGGCCTTCAGAGAAGGCATCAGCAACTTTTATGCGGAGTGTTTATATACATATGTATATGGAATAGAGTTGTGTATACGTACATTCCCAGTGAAGTCTTTCATTTTAAAATGCATACATATGCAATGCAATGGCTCTTAATTCTGTTGAGAGGCTGATAGCTTTTTTAACCTGTGACATTTACAGTATTACAGAAAAATGTGAAGGCATTTTTGCTTTTCGTTTTATATAAATGCAGCACTGAAAAATATATGTAGTTATAGGAATGTCAGAATCAGTCCTGCTGAACCAACTACCTAGTCTGGGTCTTCAGCTCAGTGGCCCAAGCCAAAGCTTGCTGAAGTCAGTGGAGTTATTCCATTGCCCTTAATGGGCTTTGGATCAGACTCTGAGTAGAGAAGGACAGAACTGAGCCCTTAAGAGCTGATTTTTGCCTTCTTCAAGTCAGTAGGAGTTTGCTGTTGACTTGACTGGGAGCAAAATTGGGCCCTTTAGAAGCAGAGTTGAAAGTTTCAGATGAATAGTGCGAGTCCCTGAACATTGTGACATTCTAGCTCAGGGGTGGGCAATTATTTTGGGCGGAGGGCCATTTACTGAGCTTTGTCAAGCCATTGAGGGCCACATGACAGGTAGCCGGGGGCAGATAAATATTAATTTTCTAACTTTTTTAGGGGCCCCACAGGCCGGATAGAATGGCCTGGCAGGCCACATCTGGCCCGTGGGCTGCATTTTGCCCACCCCTGTTCTAGCCCGATCACTGAGAAAACTGGTGAATGTCTGGGTTGATGCACTATAGCCTATAAATAGTCATAAATCATATTTTGCTAATGTGGCAACATCATGGATGTATATAATAAGCTTCCAAAGATTCTGTTTTACATGCCATTCTGTATTTTTCACTGATGAAAGGTGTTAATGTAGCTTGTTCATTTGAAGAAGGAAAAAAAAAGATAATTTTCAATGAAACTTGGGAGCAAACAGAATTGTGGAGTTCAGAAATTTGTTAACTGTCCAATAAAGTAATGTGCAGACTTGTCATGGGGAAAATTGATTCTCCCAATGTGCTTTGATGAATGATTTTGTATTCCTACCTGCTTGCCGAAAGAACACTGAATGTTTCCTTGTGTTTGAATGTACAGTTTCTCAGCTGGATACGTTTTCATGTTTAAAAAAAAATCTTTGTGTATATCGAGCTTGTTGTACAATACTCTTTTATTTTCTTTTGTTCGTATGTTAATGACGCAACATTGGATAGTTTGATTCCACACTAGATATTTTATGTTGAATAAATGAATAGTTTTTACAGTAATGTTGTGTTTTGCCAATGGGAGACCTTTAAAACACATGGACTTGTTCTGAAAGGTCAGTAGTTCCAGCAAGACTGTCCCAGTGCTCTGCTCTCCTGGGCATACGCTGCTCCTAGACTTCAGGTGGGTCCAGCACTCTGAAAACACAGGCGTCTATTTGAGTACATGTTTTTCACCTACAAGAACCAGAGCAGGCGAGCTTCCTTATCTTCCAGAGAAATAGCCCATCAGATTATTAAAACTAAAGGATGTATAAAATATTTGTTTTTCACTATTTAAGATCTGGGTCTGCTTTTCACTTAGCTTGGATGGTAAAAATAGTCTCCATTAATTTGGTCTCTAATAATTTTCTAGCTAGTTCCTCTGTCACCTCTTCAGTGCAGCAATGTACAGATTACAGACATTACAAGGAACAATTTAGTTGTTAAACTGTTTCCACTGATTGTTTTTTAATGGAATCATGTATTGGCTCCAGGTCTTGCTTGCCTTGTAAATTTGTAATTTGTAAAACAAATTTTCAGCCAGATTTGGCTTGTCGGTATCCTATTAACCATCAACAGATACTTTCATTTTGTTGCGTAGTAATTCACATGCATAATTGTCTTTCATCTGGGTCGAAATGATAAATGTCTTGCAAGTACTTTGTAACATAAGGCTGCCTGTTCTCAAGTCCACGTGGAGCAGTTTACCTGTGTCATTTCTTGTTCGGCTGCAGTCCAATCCATAGTCTAGGGGGAAGTGGGCTCTTGCCTCCTGGGGCAGAAGTAATGTAATAGTCACGGCAGACTGGGTCATGATGGTAGCGTTTAGGGGAGGATTGAAGTTTTCAGGGATTTCTCTGAGCTTTCTGGAATCTCGGGCCATTTCAGAGGTCGCAGGACAGTCGCATTCAGACAATGGTTTTATCGCCAACGGATCTATTTCCAATTTGGTTCTGTGACATTATGCAGTGGTGGGTGGTGAGAAATGAGGGCTGGTTTACCAGCTGCTGGAGGTGGGATCTGTGTTTATCTAGAGCAGTGATCTCCGAAGTGGGGTGCGCAAGACGATCCATTGGGGTGCGGGAAGAAAATATTAGAACTTCTATTTATATTTATTTTTTTATCTAAAAAAATAAGAAAGAAATTAAGCTTTACTAATATTTAATACACGGATTGACACTGGTGCCCTCACTCGGTCCGTATGTCAGACGGTCACGTGTCACGTATGGTACACGAGGTATCCTGAGGGAAGAGTGGGAGTTTCACAACACAGAGGTACAGTAGTACAGTGTACAGTGGTCTCCAAACTTTGTACAGTGTTACACTGAGTAGTACATGTATATAATTTATAAATAAATAAATATACATATATTGGGGGTGCACGATCAAAAATTTTTTACTGATAGGGGTGCGCAATCAAAAAAGTTTGGAGACCACTGATCTATAGAACTGCCGCTACTACATGAGCAGAGGTAGTGGAGGCCTCCAACCCACTCTCCCTTGCCTTTGTGTCTCAGCCCTGACATTACGGGGATCTGAGCCCCCACATTCATTCAGCCCCGTTTTGCATAAGCAAAACTGCATCATCTTACATAATGGGAACAGGTCAACTCAATTACAGGACACTCCTGACTGCCATGTGGGGTTGTGAGATGTTAATGCTCCTCTGCCTGCTAGCAGCAGCCTGTAGGCAAGTAGCTCATTTCATGTGATGCAGATTTCAGAACAGTTTGCATATGCAGACGCTAGCGGGGGGGCAGTTCTTCCTGGAGGTTAGTTTGTGGGGGGGGGCGGGGGCAGTTCTTCCTGGAGGTTAGTTAAAATCCCACAGGGCTGAAATACCAGCGAGACATGAAAAGAAGAGCTACAGGTCTGTTTTACTTGAACTGGCATTTCAGACCTCATCCATGCCATTATTAATGAGAGGATTGTGCACCAGCACATTTGAATCTGGCCTTTAGGATTCAGGTGCATTAAAATCTGGCTTTAAGAAAATAAGAAGGATGAGACGACAAATAAAATTACACATCTAATCAGCTCTGTTGGTGTTTTCCAACAGCCCATTTAGGGGCATGTTTGTCCTCTCCAACAACACAGGGTAACTGGCTCTTCCCCATGTAATCGTGAGTGCAGTGACAGGCTTGCTGAAAGCCAGAGTGGGAATCCTTTTTTATAGGCAAAGGACAAAAAAAAAGGGGTCTCATGGGTTGTTGGTTTTTTTTTTTTTTTTTTAATGCTACCCTTGTGTCTCAAGCATGCATAATTTCTGCAGTGAAATTTTTAATGTAGACATGAATTCCTCTGTCAGGTGGAAACAGAACAACTGCTGTGTGTCAGAAGCCTTATATTGTTAGCTGCAAATGGAGAGTCTCCTACTCCTGGAGCCGAAGACATCCTGTTTTTGGAACCTCAACACAGTAGCGGATAGAAGTGCCCCAAGTGCCTCTGTGGTGTAGTGCAGTAGCTTACACAAAGGTATGTGGCTTTAGATGGGCTAGAATTAGTTGCCAGACAATGTTAATGCTTTTAGAGAGCGTTAGACATCACAGTTGGGGCATCCAGACATGTGCTTTGCCAAAGGACTGTCTTCAGCTTTCTTTTAATACATCTGTTACGTCATTTATGGAGAACAGAGGAAGGCTGAATTTCAATGTTTGGCAAACAGCAGTGATAGGAAGGGAGTTGGCATAGTCTGAAAATAATACAGTACAGACCAGTGGTGGTGTGGTGGGGAGTGTTGAAGAGCAAGCATGTACATATTGCTGTGCTGGGGTTTTTTGTCTGTGCCCTGGGTCTTCTAAGCTACTGGCTTTTGAATGGTCGCCCAAGTCGGGCCAGGATGCTGCTGTGAAATCACAGGTGGGACTGTGGTGGTCTGGCCTGCTTCTTCTCCTGAAGAATACTTCCGAAGAGCCTTGCCGCGGCCATGGCGCAGCCCCAGTGAATGGTGAGTCCGAAACCCCCGTGGCCATAGTTGTGTATCACCTGCAAAACAAGGAAACAGGATGAGGAAAAGTCACCAAGGCACAAGGGTTGTCTCCATTGTGGAGGTGCTGCTTCTATAGCTGTGCTGGCAGAGCCCTTTAGTGGAGACCTGGCATCCAACAGCAGAAGGGGGTTTCCTGCCAGTAGAGTTGCACCCCCTTTTCACAGGCCATTAGCTACAGGGACTTTGTCTCTCATCCCTCCCTTAAAGACCTTGATTCCCATGCCAGACTGCCCATGACTCAGTCCTCTAACACGGGGACAGCTTGTTAGTCCCTGCCACTAGCTTACATAAAATAACGCCACTTACGGCTGCCTTCACCTTTTAATCTCCAGAGATACCTTGCAGACACCACAGCTCAGAGGCACCCCAGGGCCCTGCCACAGAGCTTCACAGCCTCACCCCTCTGCCACCCCAAACCCCACCTCACATCTGAGATGTGGAGTTCATTCCCTCATTTCAAGGTCCTTCCCTCCCTAGGTATCAGGGCAGCTTTTCACATTGGGCAAGGAAACGGCTGGCCAGTGGCTCACAATGCAGAGCTCTGTTTTCTGCTTTATTGAAGGGACCATAGCCATGGCCGAAGACCATAGTAGCCTGATCTAAAGCCTACCAACAGGAAGCAAGACAGATTTCCAGAGGCTTTGGATCATGCCTTTTGCTGCGCTGCTCTTTGCCGTATACAAGAGCAGCGGCAGCAGCACAGGGCACAATCACGTTCCCCAAAGTACAAAATGTTATACCCCGCTTATTATTTGTTCCTGCCAAGGTAAATCACTTTGTTTCAGCAGGAGAATGACTCATGGTTGTGATCAATAGCTACACCTCTTTTCTGCCAAGGCAGCATAGAGATGATGGGATGATAAAAGAACATAGCAATCTATAAATTAATTCTCAGACAGTGTTGCTGTGTGCCCTGCTATGGGTCTTGCTTTATATGCTGGTCTCTTTCCAAGAATCCAGGCTCGGAATAATCTCCAGCTAAAAACTGAATGTATTTTCATCCAATTTAATTATATTTCCTAGCCACCGTCCCTATTAGTGCTTTAATCTCTTCTGCTGGGTTTTCCACAGACACATGCATGCAATCCAATCATGGAGTCCCAGGGCAGGCCTACTGATGAAAATGAAATCATTAAGGATTGACGAGAATATTAACGAAAGGGGGCTGTGCAGAGGGTCCTCAGAGCAGATGGTGCATTTAAATGTGGGTTGCATCGGTCTCTTCAATCACCAGAGATGAACACGCAAGGCAGCTCCACAAGATGTTACCCTGTGAATTTTGAGAAACAAGCTAGACCCCCTATCTCCACACTGGGTAGGGTGGGACTTGATTTTTCAAGGTGCAAAGTAACTAATTTTTATGATTTCAGCATCAGATTATTTGGTGAACTTGCTACTAAAAGCAGGTTGGAGAGACATTTGTTTGGGATGGTTTGGATGGGAACGCTCCCTCTTGACCTCCAGACAGCCTTTCAGCCCTAAGAGTTTTTTAAACTGGAAATCACTGGAACAAATCTTGGGGACACCTGGTCATTGTAACATGTTAATATGGACAATGATCCTTGTGATAATGAGCAGTTGATTTAGGGTCAGATTTTCGTCCAGCGAGATACAAAGTCACAGCCAAAACCACCACAGAGCTGGGGTTCTGGTTTTGGAAAACGAAACCACATAAAACCTTGATGGAACAAACTCGGCACAGAAACGCGACTGCTGTCCTGTGTTGCAAGGGGGAGCTCATCTCCAGGAGAAAAACTGCAGCATTAGCAAAACATTGATCTTTCATTGCTAGCATCAAAACATAAGGTAAAAACTTAGTTTTGCCATGTATGCTCGTTCAGCTGAGTAAAGCTGCATCCTTGATATGACACAAGGACCATTATGCTGCCCACTCGGGATGTCAGTGGATTTCTGGACAGTGAGACACATACCTCGGATTTTGAAAGTCCGTGATGAATGGTCTCCCTCTCCAGGCGAACTCTGTGGCGCACTGGTCGCAAGCCGCTCCACTCATCCACAGCCTTGGCTTTCTAAGAACAAGAATGTTTCTGCAACAATGCACCATCCCACTGGTTTCTTTCTAGCTGCTCAGTATTAGTCATATAGCTACCTTGAATAACTAGTCGAGAGGAGGATTTTTATGATGTGGATTCTTGTTTGCTGGGACCAGAACTGAGAACCACCATCCAGTTAATTCAGGTTGTTTAGAGACCAGAGTGATTCTGATCACGAGCCACAGGAGAGCAAATTTCAGAGGCAAAAGGCTCTGATCAGTTCTGTGAGCCAGCCAGGGCTCGGAGCAGTTTTCCATGTTGCTCCGTTATAACATGACAGCATTGGCGTGAGCCTTTGCTTGAAGCAGCCCCGCTAATGGCCAAGGTGGGGCTGGAACAATTTACCTGTCTTCATGTTAGAACAAGCGTGGTCCTTGCACTCTACACGTGCCCCGTTTGTAATGTGCTCGGGATCTTTGTGAAGGCAGATGCTGTGGACATGTGATGTACTATGATATGCCACTATACCCTGAGTCACGTTCTCACAGAGCTACCTTGCATCTGGGGTGGAAATGACAGTCTGCCACTCTGCTGCTGCAGTGTTTAGCGTTGCTGACAAGCCTCGAAGACAGATCAACGTTGCTGTATACACAGATCGGTTTAAATGGATCCCTCCAGTCCTTCCAGTTTGCTGGAGACTTGTGTTACTGAGATCATCATTCATTTGACCTAGCTACTCTCAGCTAATGCATTTGCCCTCGCTGGTAGGATGGAGTTCTCTCTTGTAGGTTGTATGCATGTCACAGCAAGTTGGGGCTCTTTAGCTACAGGCATTACAGCAATGTCTGATGGTCTAACATACCTGGAGACTCGGGAGCAGCTGGCAGCACCTTTCCCAGATGGTTTTGTGATCCCGGGGGCTGTTTTCTTCGTTCCAGTTTCCCAGCTGAAGTATCCCTCCCAGGGTCACCAGCTTACTCCTGCAGAGAGGACATGGGGAAAGGGTTTACCGTGCCCTCACTGGGACCCTGTCCCGACTCTTGGAGTTGCACATTAATGGGAGAATCTGTCTACAGCTCATGAGTTCTGGTCAGACATGGAAACCTGCTTCAGGTTTCAGTCTTTCTGCTTATTTTCACTAAGTGCCTGCCCCATGCTTATGTTAAGGAGGCAGACAGCAATGCCTGCATGTCTGTCCATATACAAGTCAGTACCTAAAGCCAATAAGCACCTGAACAGATCTTGATCTTGGGCAGGACAAAGGAGTAGCTGCATCCCGGGTAAAACCAGGGTAATTCTCAGAGGAGCGGGGCTTGAGGGAATAGAGCAGAAAATCCATATGAGTCTTTGGAAACTCACTGGGACTCACAGAGATGGAAGGAAATGGACTGCAGATGCCAGAGGTTTCATAATTCAGAGGGAAAGGCAGGTCAGTGGAGAAGTACTGCCCAGCAGAGGGGACTTGGAGCCCTGCAAAGACGCTGACCCACTTCTTCAGCATGCTCAGGCATGGTCAAGAGCCCGAGGCAGTGAAGGGCAGGCAGGGGCTTCTCATCTCCCTAGTTCTGTCTCTCGTGTATTGTTGAATTTGGGGCACGCTGGTTTAGAATTTCCTCTGGCCAAGCCTGGCTCTGCTTGCTTCAATGAGCATGCGCCATGAAGCACTACGCTGCAGCCTAGAACGCCCCCATCGCTGGGGCTCCACATGCTGACGTGACTGAGGCATGTGAAGAACTGGCTCTAGCTGCAAGCCCTGGACGGTAGGACCGTGGACCTGTGCTGTCCACACTGCATGCTAGAACAAGAATCTGCATCGCGAGAGGTGGCCTGGAAACCTGGAGCTGGGGGCCTCAGGGGGAGCTTAGAAATGTGTGCTTGGCACAGGGACCTGGGGAGCATCTGGAAGGGAGAGCTTGACAGTGCCCTCTGGCACTCAGGCATGCTTGGAAATGGATGTAAAGTATCTCAGGAACTTGCAATGTGTGTTCTCCCCGGCTGCCCCCTGCCAGGCCGAGCTGTGCTTGAAGCAGGGATTCTTCACATTTAAACCCTGGAATGTGCTGTTTCCTTTGGGAATCTGCCTTGTAGGCCAGCTCAACTAGCTTGAGCTAAAATAAACAGGCTGGAAGGAACTGTGTATGCAGCTGGGATCGTGATATGAAAACACTTGGAATCCTTTACTGGGGAGCTATAAGCGTTCAAAGTTCATATTTACGCAGGGGCTTAATGGCCAATCCTGAAATATTAGTGTGATAGGAAGTGCCAGGAATGTAACAGTCGGGTTACAGCTAAGAAAACTCCTTTGGGCCAAAACCGCACTGCATCCCTCATCTCCAGCAGAAGCGCAGACTGTGCACATAGCACAGATTTCGTGCTCTGTGCGTGCAGACGTGCTGGCCTCTTGACTAGCTTCCAGACCCCCCCAGGAGCACTCTGCTTGAGAGGTGCGGGAAAGCACAGGGTTAAGGCAAGCAGTGAGGGGGCTGAAGCAGGAAAGCCCCTGACTTCCACACCTCAGGCATGTGAAAGGTCCCTTGGTGGTAGACCTTTCCAGGAGCTGCAAGATGCAAGGAGATGGATGACTCCTTGCCTGAGTGCAATAAGGGTTTGACGCAGGGACCCATTCCTGGATCCCATTGGTGTGCGGGCTGCACAAAGTGGCTGTCAGTAGCAGAGACTCAGAAGATGTAGCATGTCCGAGCAAAGGCACAACCACCACCCCACCACCTGTTTGCAGTGAGGTTAATGAAACTGCTGCAAGGGGAAGTCAACATGCTGACATGCAAAGGGGCCCATCCTGGTCCCACAGGAAGCAATGGGATTTTGGCCACGGGCACGTCTGGGGTGTGATTAGTCCTTCCACAGAACACTTGTCCCTTTGTATTAAGTAGTGACAGCCCCTGAATGAGCAGCAAGAAGAGCTTTCACACAGTTTGCCTTGGCTCCCATGGCCACTGCGGGAGCTCAGCACCTTTCCCTGGAGTTCTGCTCAAACAAGCTGCATGGTTGGCAGGATGGGTCCCTGTTCCCAGGGATTTGCAGTGCTGCTGGGATGGAAACTGGTGGGACAGGACTCCCTTGCAGCCTGAGAGCTCACCCTGGACCTCCCCAGTCTTCGGGAGTTGCAGTGCAAATGTGCAGGCACAGCGCTGACTCTGTGTAGACAAGAGGTGGGGGTCATCTTGTTCCTGTGCGTGCCCTCTGCTCCCTTCTGACATGCTGAATCAGAGGAAGCTTTGCTGTTACATACCCAGGTATAACGTACGGGGAGTTATAGATCCCAGATTCAGTGTCGTGAGTTATGATGAAATGCTTCACCCAGGGGGCCAGGACCTAGGAGATCAAGAAGACAGCATCATTCAGATCCACCCTGCATGGGACAGAACAGGTTGGGACCTCTATAGCCAGGGGAACTGGCTGAGAAACACCAACTCCAGCCCAGAGGCAAGCAAAAAGCACTGTTCAGGAGCCAAGGGAAACCCATAGCAGGGGGCCTGCCAGCCACACAGTTCCTTTTGTTATGCTTATCCTTCATGTACCCAAGATGGACAGGGGTAGATAAGCAGAGGGAGAGGCAAAGGGGCTTCCCACTAATATTCCTGAGGATCTCGTGGCATTTTTATGCATATACTAATAGCTGAGCCCTCCCCACATCTTTTACAGACAAGAAGGACCGCTTCGAGTGGGCTTGGGGCCCTGCTCAGGTTGGTTCTCTGGATAGCCTCACATAGTCCAGGCTAGCCCCAGAGTTAGCCACCAGCCCACACGTGCTCCTACATTCCCTGCCCTCACCTTCATGATTTGGCCGCGCCCTGGCTGTAGCTCCGGGTCCGGTTGTAGTTCCCCTGCGCGTACCCCTGTGCAGTTGATTATGATGTCCACACCCTCTGCAAGAAGCTACCGAGAGAGAGGCAGAGCAATGAACTGCACATGCGTCATCCTGCTGGGGAAAAGCTCGATCCGCTAAGTGTCCCGGTTCCCACCCCGGGTGGAGCGCGCTTGTGCCTCGTTCCTTCAGGGCTCCTATTCCAGGCCTCAAAGCTGAGCCATGCCACGGAGCAGCCCTTGTCAGGAGTGAATGTGCTGGAGGGTAAGAGGCAGAAGGGCAGAGTTGGCCCCTCAAGGCAAACTCCAGTGGAAACCCCATGTTTGAAAGACTTTACCTCCTCTGACGGAGATGCCAGAATGGGTGCCAGCCTGCTGGGCTCGGGTATCAGTACATCCTTGTAATAGGGATGTAGGATGCAGAGAGTGGGGACTACCAGCGCTCGAGGCTGTGACTCCCCCACCCCGTGAGTCCTGCGTGCTAGTGACAGCAACCTCCCAACATGCTGTGGGAGACCCTGGCAGATGATGTGCCAGCTGGAGACTTTGCTTCAGCAAACAGGTGCAGGAATTATGAATGCTATTCAAAATCCAGTGGGGACTGTGCACAGCCCCCCACGCAAGGGGAAGGCTGCCGAATCCTCTTCCTGATTCAGCAGTCCCCAAGGCTGATTTCCGAGGGGCCAGCCTCCCCGCCTGTCCGGGGCTGAGGTTGTGAAATGGGACTTCCCAGCTCACCTCCCCGAAGGATCTGATCTTCCTCTGAAAGAACTTGACTCCTCGCCGCTGGAGCCTACAGGAAGAAAGGTCACTCGTTACCAACAAGAAACAGCAAAGGCAAAAAATAACACCCGGTCAAAGATTTCTGCCTGGCTGGTAACACTATACACAGCAGCACTTGGGGAAAGTCTCCAGCAGTGACCTGTGCTGGGTGGTTTTCTTTGGCAGGCGTGGCAATGGGATATCCTCAGTTGCCCACTATCATGAAGCTGATGGGCAAAGGGAGGAGAGGAAAGTGGGTCTGTGTTCACCCTTCAATCTACAGATTCATGTTCAGGACAGCAGAACAAGAGAAAGAAAATTAGGGGAGTGCTCACCTCTTGGTCAACCAAGGCAAATAGCTCTTGCCCTCGAGCATCAGTGCTGTATTGAACCAACCGTAGCTGCAATCAAAGAAGAAAAGGAAGAACGATGCATGTGCACCAGCCTTTCGGAAGCTGATGGCTCCTGTATGAGTGTGCTAAGTTGGGTAGCGTTCGTGGCTTGATTAAAGTTAGCAATCACGAAACACTTTCTCTGTGCAGTAGCATGAGCTGGGTAAGTGATATGGGAGGACCCCATTCCCTCCATTTCCCTGTTTCTCCCAGTTTTTGTCCTGCTTCCTGGGAAAGGTCCCCTACTATCACTAACACACAAGGAACTGGAAACTGGACTTGGTGGCCCAGAAGCCCCCTTCCAGTACTACATTCATGCGTGCCTGTTCAGGCTGGAGTACCTCACAGACTCGGGTGCAAAGAAAGGCTGGTGTCTCCCTAGAAGCACTCTGTCAGTGCAGTACACCCCTATGCCCCGCGTCGTACATCCGATGCTGTATCCACCTGTAGCAGGATGGACCTTGTGCTGGGGCAATGTGAACAGGACTCTGTGGGGCCCCTGCTAGAGATCTCTGTTCAGTGGCAAAGCTCTCAAAACCTGCCGCTAATTCTAAAGTAATGCGGACGGTGAAATACCTGTAGCCAGGGAAGAGTTCAAGCTCTTTCGGTGTCAGCTTCCTAAACCCCAGGACAATGTTTTTCCAAGATGGGTCCTACAGAGGGAGAAACTTTGCAGGCTCGTTACCATGATTTAATCATTGAAATATGCTCACAGAGTCCAAGCAGCTGAGCATGGGAAAGAGCACATGGGAGAAGAATGCTTGGGCCGCTCTGCTGCACGGGCTCGTTCCAGGGACAGCCACGGCCAGACCTCCAGTGGGTCTGAAATGCCTTCGCTCCACTGGATCAATGGAGCCATGCCAGATTACATCCTCTGAGGGTCCAGCCCTCTGCCTACATTTGCATATCACTGGGAAACCCGAGCACATGATTTCCAGGGGAGCTGGGAGCAGGGTGACGTTCCCATGGTTCGGCAAACATTTCTTCGTGTGAGAGGCGTGTTAGCCCACTTGAGACACAAGCCTCAGACCCTCTGGTGCCTTCCACCCCACCCTGCAGCTGGCTTCCTACCGGGACTGGCTGTGTGAAGAGGTTGTAGCCGGACATGGGGAAGAGACCCATCTCCTCTGCTTCTGGGGAGCGAAGGTGTCTGAGCAGGTAGTCAAATGTCTCTTTGTTCCAGAGCCTAAAATAAAGAGGGAGGAGCACACAGGTTTCCTGAAGGCATCTGAATAACAGAACTCACCCTGCCCCTGCTCCTATGAGCCCTGGCACCCAGTAGACTCCCAGGAGCTGAAAGCAACTTGCATCGGTTTAGCAGCAGGTCTTGTGCAATTGCACAGCTCCCGAGTGGTGCACGTCTCTGCTGCCATTTTAGCAAAGGACCCAGGCCAAGGGGGCGAGGAGGTGTTCTCAGCTGGGTCCTGAACAGCAACGGTGCAGGCTGGGGAGCTGAAGCCGTGGCACCCAGGCAAGGCAAGGCTGGGGAGGGTGAGTCTGAGTGCCGGGGAGTGGGGACGGTATCCCCTAAGGTTTGCTGAGGCAAAGCCCCAGAGAACTGTTTCTAACAACAAAGGCAAATCAAGCACACTGTAGAGGCCTTCCTGTGAGGAAGCCCCTCTGTAGAAACACTCCGGATCTTGCACCGACAGGAGGGCACATTTCTATCCTCGTCCCCTCCATGCAAATTTCCCACGGGGCTGCGATGGTGGGTGACGCACCTGGGCTCACGCACAGGAGGGGCTTGTACTGATGCTGCTACCCGGGGGGCTAAAACCGGAGTGAAATGAAGCCTTGGAAAGTCTCTGGAGGCTGGTCTCATCGCCTTGGGACCATCCTCTTTCCGTCCCACTGAGCAAAGGGATGGCAGATGGAAGAGTGACTGCACCAAAGGCTCCTTTTCAAGCACCAGCTGGTGCTGGAGCCTGTGTGCCCTGCACTGCCAAGGGGCAAATGGGACTGTGGACGGTGCCGGCCCCAGGGGGGAGGTAGAGCTGATGCTAGAGCGGGGTGTCACCATAGTCTAATAGCTGTCCCCGCGGCCACTAAACACAAGGATTAGTATCACCCGCGCCTTCGTGCTCCCCAGTAGAACCGTATCCCCCCTGCCCGAGAGCTGCCACTTCCCCTTACGTTTCCTGAATGTTTCCCTTGTCATCCAGGTAGGGCTGCCACAGCCCAGCGGCACCGTCGCTGGTGGTGTGCGGCGTGTATCGGTCGGCATAGACCTCAATCTCCAGGGCTGGGACGATGGCGTGATACTGGTCATGGATGCACAAGGCCGTGGAGAGCCCGATCACCCCCGCTCCGATCACAGCCACCCGCATGGCTGCGAGTGAGACCCCTCCTGCAGGGCCTGGACCAAAGGAAGCAACAACCCGGCGCTACCAAGGAGGAAATAAACTGGCTGGTCCGAGGTGCCTGAATGTGCCAGGAGCCCCCCAGAGAGGGCATGGGTTTGCTGGCTACTCGGTGGGCCTCGGTCTGCAACGGCCGCAGGACTGAGTGACAGCGGGGGAAGCGGTGCAGCTGTTCTAGATCTGCTTATCCTGAACGTAAAACCCCTGCTGACCGACCTCTGGGACACCAGTGAGAAGGCAAGTGCTCAAGGGACGGTTTGAATCGCTGGGCTTTGTGTTGTGAGGGGCGTATCCTGCTTCCCTCACTGCTACGGAGGCTGCTACCCCGACGGGAGAGCGGTGACAGCCCGGGTAGTCACATACCTTCCATGCTGCTCCGCCGTGACTTGCAGCTGTGCGGGGCTCTGCGTTCCCGAGGCGGCGCAGGCCGGCAGGGACCTCGCTTGCATACCAATGCTGAGAGCGCTATGCCAGTGCCAGGTGCCGAGCCAGCTTGGGCCTCTGGCCACGAGCACAGGGCTCTGGGCATGCATGTGACTCCCTCCCCGCAGGGGAAGAGCCCGGGCTTTCCGAGCCAGCAAGTCACGCTCGCCTCATCCCACTCCCGGGCTGCAGCTCGCCTTCCACACCCTGCGGCCCCCAGCCCCTCGGGCCGGCGGCCGACAACCGAGCTCGCTTGAGTCTCCAGACTCTGCTCCCACGTGCCGGCTGCCGTGGCGCCCTGGACAGCCAGGCTTCGGACTCAGGGGATCCTTCTGCGGAGCAACAGCAACCGCAACCTTGGGAATGCCAAGCCTGTGTCCAGCATGACAGATAGCAGAAACAACAAAGGGAAGAACTGCTCTGTTGTCCTTGCCGTGCGGGCACCCCCATGCCACGCCACCGACGCACCTGCTCCAGGCCCCGCGGGAACCCCCATGGCAGGGCTGATGCCCCCCAGCTCACACCAGCCCCATGCTGTTGCACGTGGCTTGGGCTGCAGCTCTAGTGCCCCAGAAACAGCTCATGCATGACTTGGCTGGAGGGATGAGCTGCGAGGAAGCAAGCCCACTGATGTCCTGAGGAAGAGAAGCAGCAGAGCGGGGAGGTGTCCTGTCCAGGGCAGGAGAGCGGCTCTCTAGGGCACCTCTGGAAGCCTGTCCATGATGGTAACTCATTAGCCCACCTTCCCAGGGACTCTGTGAAGGACAGACCCCTTGCTCAGCCCTGCTCCCTCCCATCTGCTTTGCATCTGGGCCTGGGAGGACTTAGCCTCAGAAAAGGCCTGCTTTGCTCTTCTGGACTCAGCAGCAGAGGCTAGGATGTGACTGTCACTGCTGATCTCCTCTTCCACCGCTCCCTTGCTGGTCGATGAATAACCCAAGACCTCACCTGCGGGGAGAGACGGGTCCCCAGGAGCTTCTGGGGTCTCCGCGGCACACGTTCTCCCTGCACGCTGTTCGCAGCGGAGGGCGCAGTGGACAGTCCGAGGTTCATTTGCCACCGGGGCAAAGATCTGAGTCTAGCATTTGCTGCTTTTGGTGGCAGGGAGTCAGGGTCAAAGTCTCCCTGCTAGGGTGACACTCGGGGGGAGGAGGTGGAGTTTTCCAGCCCTTCCCACAGCAGAGCAGCCCCTTTCTGCTTGCTGAGCTGAGGAAGGCAGGATCTCCAGGGTCTACCAAAAGAGGTTGTCACTGGCACCCTGTAGGTCCTTTGTCTCATTAGAGCAGGCGCAGCACGTAAAGCAAAGGAGCCAGGACTCCCCAGTTCTCTTCCTGGCTCTGCCATGGGCTCCAAATAATTCATTTAACCTTCGTTGCCTCAGTTTCCTCATCTGTAAAATGGGTATAATTCTTTTCTGCCTGACATGGGCCATGAGGGGGAACTGCTGGATCCAAAGCATGCCGAGATCCTCACTCCTCTTGTCTGGATACGGAAGAGCAGCGCATAGGACTCCCAGAACAGCCTTGGCACCATGGACGTGCACCGGAGCAGGTCTTAGCAACCAAACGGGCTTTATCAGAGGAGAGTGGCAATTAACTGCTTCCAGAGCCACTCTCGACCATGCGAAGAAGACAGGGCCAAGGCTGTTACCAATACACCTGGGAGCAGCAGGGAGCCTTGCCTGCGTGGTTGATTTAGTAACCGCTGGCTTTCCCAAGTGCACGGTGTCCCCCTTTCCCTCCTCTCCAATGAAGTTCTCTTGTGTTAAACCCTTCAAGACTCACTGCCTGTGAGGGGGGCATCCAGGCAACATAATTTCCCAGATTTGGGGGTTTTTTTGGTAGGGGAGTAACTCGAGCTGGTGGCATTTAAATATTTTCAGAAAGGAACAGACAGCAGCCCTGGTAGGAGAGTCAGCCAACACTTCCCCCTGCAGAGCCAGGGTGGGTGTCAGTTTGGAGAGGGCATTTCCTCCCTAACATGGGAGAACACCAGAGGCATACCGTGTTCGCAGAAGGCCATGTGGCAAACCAATCCTTACGTGTCACCAGTGAAGAGCACGCACTGCCCAGCAATCCCAGAGCAATTTCTGCATCCCGGCAAGTGGAGAACACTCTCCCTTTCCTGCCTCCTGGCTTGTTCTTATTCTCGGGAAAGGAGCTGCTCGGTTGGGCTCTAACAAGGCAGAAGAAAAGCTCACATCTTTCTGAAAACAGATGGAAGATCACTCTCTGCAGATCTGGACGGCACATGCAAGCGCCTCTGAGGTCCGCAGCGTGTGTCACCTAAAGATCTCAGTGCTTTTTAAGGTAAGTGCATGAAGCTCCCACCATCCCTATTACCTCCTCTCCCTGGAGAAACCCTGCTCTGCCTCACAGAAGGATTTCAAGATTGGGTGTCTCCAGTGCTTCGTGGTGAAGAAGGGCAGGGAGCATGGGGCGCGCCTAGCTGAACTGCAGTTATCAGTGGCTTTGTCAAATTAAGTGAGGGGGAAAAAAAGAAACAGGGCCCAGTCTCTTAAATAATCAAAATAAAGCTAAGCGTTTGGGCTCCAGAGCCCAGGATGGCAGCCCAAGGGGGCCTAGAGAGGTTGGTGTATTATCTATTTATTATTTGTTATTTAGAATCATAAAATCACAGAAAATGAGGCTGGAAAGGACCTCAGCAGGTCACATCCAATCAAGGTATGGGGGAAATGTGGGCAGCGCTGGGCCGGCGTGAACACAGACTCCGCTTTCAGCAAGGAAGGAGGTTGGGTATGCTGAGTGGGAGCACGAGGGGGAATTGAAGCTCTGGGCTGGCAGGGCCTAGCTCTCAGCAGCCACTGATGCTGCCGGTGATAAGTCACTGCAAGCCACGTAGAGGCCCTAGAGCAGCCTACTGATGGCTCCAGTCATTCCTCAGGCCATCAGCTGGTATCCAACCCCCTCTCTGACACACATGAGACCGTGGGGGAGGATGGGGGGCAGCACGAGGTACCACGGACTCCAGTACCCAGGCACGGAAGTACGCTGAGACAGGGCCCCTTTGCCAAGAAGGCCCAGTTAGTACAGACCCTCAGGAGGGATTGTGAGGACAGCACCATTGGCTTCGATTGTCTGGGAGGGACGTAGCGGGGAAGGTCTCAATTAGAAAGGGCTTTACATACAATCGGTAAAGCCTCTTACACTAATTACTCTGTTGCTCGTCTGCTCTTTGCTTTTGGCGATGCTAACCCCTCGCGCTTTCCTCGCTTGGGTCGTAACACTTCACTCTTGTCGTCGAGGATTTCAAAGCACTTTGCCAATGCGGCTCCAGCCTAGCAGCACCTCTTTTAAAACAAAAAAAAGAATCAGGCTCGTCATCTCCACCTTACAGATGGGGAGGTGGGAGCTTGGGGAGCTAAAATGAGGTGCCTACGCTTCCACCTCGAGTCTGTCACAGAGCAGGGAACAGGCCCAGCATGTCTTGACCTCATCTGGAGCACGAGTGTCAGCTTGCAAGGCTGGGCCATGCGAGAGACACCAGCTCGTATGACAGCACTTTGCTTTAAGTCAGCGGCTGCTGCTACCACTTCCACCTTGCCTGGCTCAGGAGCCTTCACCTGGCCCCGATGGTGCAGCTGTTAAATAGTATCTGCGGCAGCATATTGTGAGTCGCCCCTCTCCATCCTCCGCGCCCAGTGCTCCCGAGGCAGCTGCGGTCCCAGTCGCAATGACACGTGAGAGCGGAGTGATCTATTTAACACGTGCCCATCCTTCTGTGCATCTTTTGCATGCTCAGAGCCAACCACGCATGCCCACCTTGTGGGGCTGTCACCTGCCCAGCACTACTGCTGACTCCCTACAGCAAAGGCACCTCCCGCTGAGGACGCACCGTGCTCTCCTCTTCCACAAACGGTTGGTTCCCACACCTGGGAGGGGGTAAAAGAGGCTGGATCACTGTCTGAGTATGGTCACAGGGCTTGCTTGAACAGCTGTTTGTAAAAGCTGTTGTACTGTTAGCCCCATTCCACCTCTACCTTTGCCTGTCCCTTCCTCAAAGGAAGGCATTCGTGGACCCTCTCTTCGATCAAATGCCAGTGCTTAATTTATTCCTGTAACGATGGGTTAAATCCTGCTGTTCTGACTCAGGTCAAACACCTATTAAGGTCAACAGGTGTTTGCTCGGACGCGGCTCGACGTAGGGCATGCCACATTTGCTCTGTCTCTTGGGGCCCTCAGTGGAGCCTTGAAAGGCCCACGTCAGATGCCCTCTCTGAAATGCACTACCCATCTCCGTGGGGCTGACCTGATCCTGCTCGAGGAGAGGACAGTCGTTACCACCCCAGGACAGAAGAGAGCTGGAGTCAGAGGCCAACTGAAGTCAAAAAGGGGCAAAACCCGAGGTGCCGCCCTGCTCACCAGCTGTGAGTCCGAGAGCAGAGCTAACCTCCCTCTGTTTGAATGGAGACATGCTCCAGATTAGCGTGGCGAAAAAGGAGCCTCTCTGCCACTTTGAGGGACCTTCTGCATGGGCACGGGCAGCTCTAGGACTTTGAAAAGGGGGGTGCGGATGGCATGGTGAATCATCCCATATAGTACGACACCTATTTTTCTCCAGGTAGGAAGAAACATGAAGTTTTACTACCGCGCTAGGGGCCTGGGCTGGATGTTTCAGTTTACTATTTGTATTTGCTTCGATCCAACTTTATCAGAACGAGTTAAAAACAGTCTGCCGGGCTGTGAAAGAGGAGCTTCGTGAGCAGGAGCAGTGAACGGACAGCAGAACGGCAGCAGAAAGGCCCTGGAAAAGGAGAGAGGGTCGTTCACTCCTGTAGCATGAAGAGTTTAGAAGGGACCGGGTAGATTTTCATGAGCCCTGAAGTCACTTGAGGCTCTTGCTGCCGCCCGAACAGGACTGCAGCTGCCACTGCCAGGCAGCAGGGATCAAAGGGAAGTGCATCCGCCCCTACACACAGATGAGGCTGCCTGCGTCCTGCCTTTTCCTGTGCAGTTTGGAGGACACGTGGGGGGCTCCGAGACCGACGTATGGGGCTCCCGCGGGGATGGCTCTACACATTCTGGCCTGGTACGACTTCAGCAAAGGCCCCCGGCTGCAACGATCCAGGCGAGGATCCGGCGCGTGACATTGCTCCTCATTTGGGGCATCTCCCTCTCCCTGCCAGGCGAGGGGGGGACGCAGGCGGTCGGGGATGGATGCAGGGAGGGTGTGCCTGTGCACTTGCACCCCTCTCGGATGCCTGCTCCGCTCCGAGCATAAAACCAGCCGCCTGGCAGTGGCAGCAGCATTTGTAGCCAGGCAGCGCCGAGGGAGTCCACTGACTCGGTGGCTCTTCATCATCTACTTGGAAAGTCTTCATTGCACACGTGTGAAGGACCCTTTCTCCTTTGCAATGCTCCTGACGTGCCACCCATCGAGCGAGCCTTTGTTCTGCCATGAGACTGTCTGTCGGTTCACGGCTCCTGGTCACCAAGCTCCTCTTTCACAGCCCGCAGGTGGGTTTGAACTCCTTCCAGCGACGCGCCGTTTGTTCTGCTTCGATCTAACGCCAACCCCGCGCACCCGCTACGCATCGCCCCGTCCTCGGCCGCCCCTCCACTCGAGGGCGATGCCCGCCGCGCTCGCCGCCGCATCTTGAGGCGACTTCCGAGCCCGGAGCCCCGGACCCGTCCACGAAAGTTGCAGGTCTCCCTTTCCCACCCTCTGCTCCCTCTCCCACCCCGAGGCTCGTGTGCTTGAGGGCCACTGAGGTGGCGCCAGCCCGGCCTAGAGCCTGGCGTTGGCGCCAGCAAGGCCCAGCGCTTGGCGCGAGCCGGGCCTGGTGCTGGCCGAGGCCGAGGCCGGGCTGGCACGGGCCGGGCTCAGGGGC